CAAAAGGTTAAAGTACGAATGTGTAGTGACCAGTGAAAAGTATTCTGTTATTCTATAAATACTGAAAATAAAGTTAAAAAAATAAATTATACGTTCATCATTCGGCAGATCTGGACCTGGACGCATGTTATGTATATTGAAAAATCGTTCTCATAAAACTTGTGTGAAATGCAAATGTATGTGTGTATGTATGATAAAAATTTAATGATACTCACACAAGAAATTCATTAAATGCTAATATGTTTGGCCATAAGCGTGGAACTGGACAGGGATTCGGCATTACCAAACGCAAGAAAGGAATTAAAGATATTATATCAACTATTAACAGTCCTGCTGACTTTGGTAAATGTTCACGTCGCATTGCTTGGTCGGTGACTTGTCTGGAAAAATTAAAACGGAATAATGATTTCGTATAAAATAAAATCATGCATAATCTCTCTTACCGATGCACAATATGAAGAAAAGTGTCGATCCCATAGAAAGCATCGCAAAAATACCAGTAACAATATTTTATGAACAACAGAACTGCTGTAGAATCCATCACGTCACCGCAGTACACGATCGGATACACCGATTGTATGGGACCCTGGAAAACAAAAGTATTTTTTCATCGCTATTTTACACTCAATTCAAATGTATGATTTTGTCTACAGCTTCTTTTTCATGCAAATTCGACGATGTTCTTCCTACAATGACTATTGAGTCTATCCAGTATTCCTACAATGACTATTGAGTATTACCAGTCTTAATAAGTTAATATAGCCACTTAAAACCGTTACTCTTCTTTTCATACGTAAATTATTCTTGTAATAGGTATTATAAGACGTGGGGCAATGGTAATAAGCTGATAAAAACATTCCTTACCAGTAGAACCTTTACGAAAACACTAAAAAGTACGAACAGCTGGAAAACTGGGTGGAATGGTAGAAATATAAGGTTGGACCATTCTATCTTACTATCTTCCTGGGCTACTGTTTTAGTCTCAAGCATCTTGCTAATTGCAGTTATTTTGTCTATAGAACTGGACGCCTGTTTTACAGGATCATCAGAAGAAGCTTCACTCTTCCTCAAAGGCATGTTAGTAATAATAATTATTTTATCAACAACATTATACTCCTCTTGATTATCAAACACATTTGTTGTGACAAGAGACACGCTTTCAAATACAGAATGTATTTTGACTTCTGTTTGTCATGAAGTGAAATATTCTGATTTTGCATAGTTATAGTTTTTGCTCTGCATATTGTGAGTCTATTCTCCCGATAGAGAGCAAAGTTGATGGTTTATGCCAGTGGCGTGCAGTCCATATAGGCAAATAGGCTTTGCTTGACATAAAATGTACTAACGCGTTTATTAAGATTCAATAATATAATAAAAGTTTGTAAAAAAACGGCTAACATAAATATACATTCACATATACTATACACGTACCGCACGCCTTTGTAAAGCAATGAATGCGCGCCGCACGCACCACGCATGCGCTGCTATTCCTTAAATCTTGGTTGGTGGTTGTGACGTCACAAAAAGTATGCAACGCGCATGCGTGAAGGTCACGTGACTATGGTCACAGCACAGAATAACCATTCATAAACGCAAAAAATTATTACACGATTCAATCTAGCCGGACTTTTTGAAATATGTGAATCTGCGCCATCTATTGAATTTTTTGTTAAAACTTCTGAACGCGTTCGATATAATGGGAATGTGTTTTTATAATTATGCATACTAAAAAAATATGTTTCAGGTGTTTTAATTAAATCTTAACATTTTTACGCGTTGTCGCTTTATAGAAACTTTAAACGAGGAGTTGACTTTATTATTTTAAAAGTTAAAAGGAAGTTATCGAAACGTCAAGTTGCCGCTACTCAAAGTTTCAAATTATTATCAACGAATGTTTCTTATTGGAAAATAATAATAAGACAATGATGCAATTCCATTTGACTTATGTAAATTAACGTTTTGTTTTTTTTTTATAATTAAACACTGGGTTGCCTTAATGTTTTAGCTATATTTTTTAATAAACACTCAATTGACTACGATGAGTAATGACTTTCCAATGTTTTTGGCCATATTGTTTTCATGTGATGTGCGATCGCTTTGTTTATGTTTTCGTTTAAATTATAAGGAATTAGTTTTAAACATAAAGTTGCATAAATGTGTAGAAGTAGTAAAATATATGTGTCGGTTTTTCAAATAGTGTATTTGTTTATCAGTGTCTAGTATATTATTCGATTGTGAAGTTTGTGTTAATAATAGGTAATGTTTTGTGTTTGTTTAAAGTTAAAAACAGTAAGTTTTCGCAAAAATGTGTCCTATAACGACTAGATTCAGGTAATGACCATAGGCAGAACTCAAGTTACGAGAATTGACCCAAGTCAAAGGTAGGTAATGTAAATATGTAGGTACTACAATGGATCTTTTATATGATGTTCTTGTTTATTGATTGATAATTCTTAAAAATATCAACTTATACCACGGGTTGTTTTGATTTACATATTAATTTATTATTAATAATTATGTAATGTAATAACAAATGTACCGCTTATACTCGGCTCGGCCACAGCCGGCCGCGCTTGTTGTTGTTTTATTTGTTGGTAGGTACCTACGTTCTTAAATTCGTAATTATGATTTTGAATAGATTATTTAGAAATTTGATAATTGAATTTGGTTCATCAAATTTATGATTCATTATTAGTATAATAAATAGATGCTTCATTATTTGTAAGTTTTGTTGGCTTATTCGATAGCTGATGTAGTACTTTACAAAAAATACGCGAGATGTCAGTGTATGTAATTTGGCGAAAGAATAAACCACAATATTCTTGAACGCACTTTTCAACAAAATGTATTCTGTACATGTACCTGTCTTGTGGGAGTATGATTGTATGACCGGGGGGGAGGGCTTTAATCATACGATATTTAGTTGCCTACCCTGTCTCGAAAATCTGTGCACGCCACTGGTTTATGCTCTCTGAGCCTGTTATAAGTGCAAAAATGTGGTCAGTTAGATAATTGTTATTTTTAAACGCGAACCATTTAAATAAAACAAGCTTCAATTATTCTATCATATTTATATTAAAAGATAAAATTAAATAGTAATACATAATACTATAATAAGTTAAGGAATTAAAATTAGAACAAGTATTTACTTTAGTGACGAAAATTCAATCCACCACATCAAAATAACATTCTAATTGATAAATCTAAAAAAACATAACCGTAATTACATAATGTTTTATGTAAACAATTTTCTTGTTATTTTAGTTTAATAATTAATTTCGTATAGACATAAAACTGTTTTATGCTTAGCTATGTATTATGTACTATGATATGGATACTGCCGGTGACAGAAAGAATCCATGAGAAAACCTAAATAGATTACATTTCAGTAAGAAAATAAAAAATACGTGTCTAACCTTTTAAAATAATCTGCCAGAAAGACATTAAAATAAAAATTAGTCATCTACTCTATCATCGTATATCCATATTGTAGTGTACTTATAACAAAATTCCTAGTAATAACTATTATTAATAACTAGTAATAAATATTAGTATCGAAAACTATCTTCTTGTGTTTCCCGTGAAGTCGATGGAGTGGAAATCAGGCCCTGAAAACTTAGTTTTATAACTAAACGAACTTAATACTTTTCTGGATAAATGCTGCCGGAACACAAAAATAAATACACAGACAACGACTTTGTCATGATTAGTAGTAATGTTTTTTAATCTTATACTTTTTTATTAGATAAAACTGAGGAGTTTGTTGGGACGCGCTAATCTACAGAAATGCTGATTTGAATTGAATAAATATTTTCATGTTGGATAGCCCATTTATTGAGAAATGCTGTAGGCTATAAAACATCATGCTTCAATCATTAGAGGCCAACTAAAACGAGTACTAAACTGCGCGAGAGTAGTTACTCTGTTCAATTATAATATCCTACAAATGAAAATTGTCAGACACGTACACGTTTTTGGGAAAATCTGTTTTCTTTGGCTTGAGGACATTACAAAGAGCGCGTTTGACTTCTGGGTAGCTCTCCATCAGGTCTTCCCATTTTGAGAGATTCAAGTAGACAAGGTCCACAACCTGCATAATTATACAATCAAGTCAATAATTTATTTTTTAAACTCATTTTTTTTTAATAAATAATAAATTGAATTTCTCCACGGACTCGTGTCCGTGCCCTTGTCATGTTACAAGTGCATAATTGTCATGGTCAAATATTTTTTTTTATAAATATCTTACATGCTACGCCTACCACTATCACTTTTAACTCATTTACTACCTTTACTTTTGTACCATCTGGAATAAGTGTTATTTTGTTAACTATACGTAATGGTGCATAATAAGTTTGAAAGCTAAATTTTATAGAAACTTCAATGGAAAAATCAGTCTAATAAATTCCAATTCTTTAGTTAATGAGTAAATTATTGTAAATCTTACCGTCCGTGTGTAATAAGAGAATCGAAAGCTAGCACTAGGGTATAATCCAGTAATACATCCAAAATAGCCATTAGTGTACAATATAGATACCAATTGCCCTTCACCACTGCGAAGAAAAGGCTTCATTAAATTTAATTATTCTTCAGTTATTTGAACCATAATACTGAACTAAGTTTCAAATGACTCAATAAAAGTCGCCGAATTTATAGAAGTTATGAATTTTTGCTTGACTGCTAACTAGGCAGACAATAATAAATTAAAAGAAATACTAAACAGTAATTAACTTAATTTTCAACAAAATGAGAGAGTAATAAAACTATCAAACAGTGAGTTAATTATTATATTTTTCGGCTTACGGCCTTACTATTTGACGATGAACTCGACTAGGTTCAAGCCATACTAGATGCTCATATGCATGAGGAGCATTCCGTGACACACGACGCGGTGCCTGTCGCGCTGCCGCTACTAGTCGATTTCCTCGTCAAATCTTTAACAGAATTTAGTATGACTCACGAAAGTTATAATATAATCAGTGAGCATTTAAAACACTTACTTAGCATCGGTCATCCACTTTTCTACTTCACCCTGGTGAATGAAGTACGTCGTATTAAAAGTGTCACCCTCCCGTACAATGCACTTGCCTGAAATTTGCCTAGACATATTAAAACAGCCATGATTTCTACATAACATCCTTTTTTGTTTATCCATTACAATTTATTTTGATATATTAAGCATTACAAAAACAAGTTATTTGACTAAATATAATTCAAATTGTAAAAGGGCATCAACTCAATCAACGCTAATCAAGGCATCAACGGCTCAACAAAATTTTTTTTTTATTAACTGCAAGCAAATTCGGATAATTTTTGCCTTTCAACTGAGTAATATATAATAAGTGTACATTACAAACCTGGAAATATAACTAATCTTGAAAATCTTGCACACAACTGTCTTTTAAAGTAGTCAGGCAGTTGACGGAACGCCGGAGCAGAATCCAAATGATGTATGTACAATGAAGAGAACAGATCATTTCGTAAACATGGGGGCGCATCATAAACTAATTCGGGAAGCCGGTCACCTACAAAACAAACGTAATAATATACGATGGCTATGAGTGTATCTCTGAATGTATCCCTAAAATAATATACAGCAAACAGTGCACAGTTACGAATGCAACACTAACTTTTTGAACGTTACGATTAATGAATCTAAAGTGATATGCTAAATTTAACTGTAGGAGAGCCATGCTTTGGCACGAATGGGCCGGCTTGCCCGGAGTAATACCACGCAATCACAGAAAACCAACGTGACACAGCCCTTACGTTGTGTTTTTTCGTTTGAATGAGATTACCGGAGGCCCAATTATTTTCCTAATTTTATTACCCTCCCCAATCCCCAAATCCCTAACAATTTTCAAATTCCTAACCCCAAAAGGTTGACAACACACTTTTAACACCTCTGGTGTTTCAGGTGTCCATGGGCGGCACTGATTATTTACCATCACGCGCTCCGTTTGCTCGTTTACCGACTTATGCCATAAAAAACTTATTGAAGAAATATTCCATGCATTTTTATTTAACTCAGCATATCTTATACTCTGATTTCAAATTTAACCTCTAAATTGAATGTTCTGATGCATCTATTTCATATTTCTAGGTAATAAAAAATATTACTAAATAAACACTTATACCTCTCTGTCTCGTCCACAAGTGATCAGTGTACTTTTTGACTATATCAAGAATAGCATGGTTAATTCCATTGTGAGCTAGGTACATCAACATCCGTTGAACACCGTAGTCATAATTATATAATAGGCGGAAATTTTTAAATGCATAATTGATTGCCAGAGCCATTATCCAAATATCCAGCAAATACATAAAGAAGGTCACAAATATTTTGTAATACAATTGCTTTAGGGACAAAGCTATTACCTAAAATAAAGTTCAAATGAAATCAACAATAAAATGTTGTAATTATTAAACAATTAATTTATCCAATAACAACTTACTGTATCCATGCTAGTATGAGTATGGATAATTAAAATGTAGGTTAAAGCTACCACATAATCATGAAGCCAATATCTAGGCACGACAAACGATGGATTTTCGTTACCGTAATTATCAGTAAATGTTCTTGTAGCTCTTGCACAACCTGAAAGTATCAAAATAAACTTTATTAATGTAATTTCATGCATGTAATGAAATCAATCAAAGGATTATTCAGCTGAAATGGCAGTGTGTCGATCACATTTGTCGAAGAACCGATTAGCGTTGGAGTAGACATGTTCGGCAGTGGATATTGAGTGTGTAGTGAAGGGCGCCCTTTAGCAAGGTGAAGTGATGATATCCGCAAGGTGGCTGGTTGTGGTTAGATGCGTAGAGCTGAAGATTGAGCTTAGTGGTGTCATTAGAGAGGCTTATATCCAGCAGTGAACGAGAACAGGCTGATGATAATGACGTTGATAATGAACACACATAATCGCAACATGACAGATCAAGAGTTCGAATTCTAGAAGGCGCCTCCACATATTTTTCATTAACTAATAACACTACAATATCTATACATATCTAATAAATGTTCTTATTATTGACTATATCCAAAAATATAATTACCATCTTCTCTAGTATAAACCGGAGCCCATTGTGTAAAATCTATAGTTGTATTCAAATGACGTGTATCTGCGATATCAGTTGGAAATTGTGGTTCTGTAATAAAATAAAACTAATAATTGTCACATCTAACCTTCTTTGGTAAGCAGGAAAATCAATAACCAGGAATATTGATACAAATATTTTTATAACGGTCATTTCCGCCTATCGGTTTGTTCAACAAAAATGTTGTAAATGATATGTTCTAGACAAAACATATAAGTTTATGCTCTTTTAACAAGTAACTCTGTTTAACTAAACTTAAAACAATATCATACCACGTTGACATCCAAATAAAATCCATCCAATCGTAAAAAAGTGCAACAGCAACAATAAAATTGTGAATTTCAAAACGTAGGGGGCTCTTTGATTCTGAAATCATTACTAATGTGTTAGAATAATTACTATTATCGCTAACTGAATATTTAAAGCAAGATAAGTAATAAATACCGTAAACCCTCTACAAAAATGAGTATCGAAATCCAAAAAGAATTTCAATCTTAGCAGTCTCGCCAGTTGGTAACCCCAGCGTCCAGTAAATAATGTAATTAGAGGTAAAATCAAAGACAAAGCATCTAGATACATAGTCCAATCCCTGAATTTCTTTACACCAAAACGACGGTAAGCTAGTTTATTTCTAGCAACGATGAGTTCAGCCTGCAAAAAAACAACAATAAAACAATTAATCGTAGATATTCAATACAATAATTTTACTATAAAGTTTATGGTCATCAACTTACAGAATAAAACTCGGCTACAAAGTTAACCCAACCTATAATATCCGTGATTGCAAGCAACTTTAGTAATCGCTCCGATGATTGAGAACCTGAATGAAGAGCTGCGGTTATAAAGACCGTGATACTCGAGAAAAATGGACTAATTAACCATACTAAATATAGCCAGCGAGAATACCATGATCCATCGATAGCTTCTATGGGCACATTATGACTCTGAAAACATGAAAAATCAACCATATTAAAGATATTCATGAAATAGATGACACTGCCACACACGTGACGCGGATTGTAGGCAAAAAATAAAGAAAGGTTCTTCTCGATAAAATTTTAGAATCTTTACATCGTTTCACAAAATGGTATTTTATTTATAGGAATAAATACATCAGTAGGTCCATATAGAAATTATGTTACAATTTTTTATCGTATACATTTTTAATTAACCAATAACAATTTCTTCCATGAAATTCCTATAAATAATTTGTACCGTGTGTATTTTTGTTAGGTATTTAAAATATTAACCGTAAATAACCAATGTTTTAAAAAAGGTAAGTTACCGGTAAAATTATAGTTTTACGTCCACGTAGAAGGTATGGAACGGAGTCGTAAGGATTTTCAATGAAAACATTTTTAGTTGCCATAAAATTATTCTTGGCTTGTCTACTTTTACTGATTTTATATCGCATCTAGAAAACAAGTTCGAAAATACATTAATACTATTATCGTGTAATAAAATAATACAGAAAATAACTAGATAAATCAACATTCACATATACGTAATATTGTATACAAGTTTGCTATAAGTAGTAAACCTGTGAGAAAGGCAAAGAAACTAAACATATGAAATCGTACCTCATCGGTGATGATAGTTTGAAAGGCAGATATTTCAATCAATAGCAAATCCACATGATTTTCGGCTACAGCTGTCACACGAACTGGACGTACTTTAACACCTTCCAGTTGACCGAATACGTCACCCTGTACAATGAAAAATTCATTATTAAGATAATATCCAAATCAGACGACCTTCAAGTTATCAAGAAAAAAGCGAACTTAATAGCTGGCAATCCATTTGAGAGTCCTCTGGTATTGCAGGTGTCCATAAGCGATGCTGGTCGCAAACCATCGTATTGTTTCCCATGTTTAAAAAAACAAGTAAAAATAATATCTGTTAGTTATTTCACCTTAGTCAAAATAATGATTTTCTTGCCATTTTTGAAAACATTGACTCTTCCCCGGTGTACAATGCATATATAACGACAAACATCCATTTCTCTAAATATATCATGATTGGGCAAATAGTAAGCAACAGCACTGACACTGGCCAGTTGCCTTTGTACTATCTCTCCACCACCAATTATTGAATCCAGAATTGTAAAAGTTCTGCATCAAAAATAAATAGTAAAGTAGGTATACATAAAAACTAATCTACGTTTTTGTTAAATGAAAGAAAGAAAATCTTTATATTACGCCTCGACACATACGTATACAAGATTACAGGTATGTACACACAAAAAGAAGCCCATGACTAGAAAACAGTTTCAGCGTTTATTTACCTATATTACCTAATATAAGTAGTTTCTAACGAAAACAATAATTATAAAATATTATTTAGCTATCAAAGAGACAAGCTTACTTTTTATAGAAATTATAACTTAAATCCTGTCCGAACACGGCACCGATGCGTTCATTAGTCAATTGTTGTAAGTTTACTCCCTTGGTTCTGAAACAGTGACACTGTTACCGTTATCTCAATATTTATTTACAGGTGTCTACAAAAACTACAAAAATGCTTACCTAATCCAACAATATCGGAAATGCTCCACTACTCTCTCAATAATAGAATTTTCTACTCTTTCAGACTTAAGAAAAGTTACAAGTTGATGTACCGAATTCTGGTACATTGTATCTCCTCGAATGTTTAACACCAATAGCGATAGTGTATAACATGATATAAACCTGAATATTTAGAGAAAAACTTTCTTTAAATTAGACTTTGTGCATGGAGTGATAAAATACGATAAATAAACTAAGCTTACCAAAAGGTGAAACCAAGGGCAAATAGAACAAAACCTACACCCAAATTTAAACGATCGATACTAAATCTACCGAAATTCATCCCTAACATACCGCTTTCTGCAAGATTTAAACTTTGAGCGAATATCTGAAACAAAAAAGTAATGTAATTTAAATTAAGATATCTCAAAAAGAAACGAAATGAAAAATTTTAATGGAGTAAAACCTAGTCTCGCGATTTATTATTGACACAATATTTCCGTGGTAGAAAATTTATCAAAAATGGTAAAACAAGTTCTAAGGTTCCATTACTTTCTTTTAGGTAGTAATATCAAGCTTCTTTTTGTCTTGATATTCTTATAAGATGAGAAACCTTATTATGGAAAACCTTCTAAAAACACGGGCAAAAAGGAAATGTAAGTAAAAGTACTTCTATTGAAGAATTTACCTAAAAAATTATCATGAGGTAAAAATAATAACATGTAAAAATATTCTGTAAATGACATACCAGATGCAACTGGTGTCCGTTCAACTTTTCAGGTAAATGATATAACGACGGCATCCAGCATTGATTCCTAAGAAGCACACTAACTAAATCATCCTTTTTGTTAAATATAAAGTGAACACAATTAACCATTAAATAATGGCTAGATGCTAAAACAATTAACATGTTTACAATCTGCCATTTAAATATCTGCAAGAAATTATAATTATGTATTGTTAACTAATAATAATTAATTCCTAAAGAGCTGAACGAGCGCTTTCATTTATATAAATTTTGTGATATTACACTGATCTACCCATACAGGCAAAAATTAAAAATTATAAAACAATATTACAATATAGATACAACTAACCATGATGTAAGTAAAATTAACAGTCGGTATATCCGTAATGTAATCAAAATATGCAAAAATTATGTATATATGGGCAAACTTGCAAACTGTATTTATGAGAAACGTGCTGTCATCATCTATTTCATGTGATATAAGAGCCCGAAGTACACTATGCCACGGAAAAGCGCCGATGATATCTAACAAAAATCCTTTCGTCAGGTAATTTCTCAAGCATAATGACTTATCCGTAACATAAAGCCCTCGCCTGTTATAATAGGGTAACTGAAATTATAGTTATTTACATTTTTATAAAGTAAGTTATGAGAAAATAACACTACGATTGAAGATTGAAGGCTAGTGCCAGTAGGGGATTAAGTTAATAAACTTACACATAACTTGATGATGATATCAATAAATGCAACACAATCACAGAATGCACTGATCATCATAAAAATCCATCGTGACACTGCTCCCACGCCACCTTCAATTAACAAAGTACTTAATATTATATTTTGTAAGTACAATTTGTCGTAAGACATTAATTCAATTACAATATGTGATTTGTCTTTTGTTTATCCCAGTTTTCTTTTCATAACTAGTCATTAAATATCACAAAATACACTGTTGAGAAAATGTGCTGATTTAATTTTTTATCGCTAAAAAAGAGAACATAAAGAAAACCGAAATTAAAAGTACAAATAATTGTTACCTAGCATCGCTGCGCTAATTATGGATATACACACAATTATAACTCGGAACAACATCCACGACTGCATGAATCTGGAACGTATCAAATATTATAACTATGCTGACAAACATAACACCCAGACCAGGGACGTTAAAAAAAGGTGGGCATAGTCTCTTGAAACAACGACTGTGGCACCTGCCTACTATAGACTTACACGCAGAATACCTACACACTCATTGACATGAAGGACATCAGTCACGGGACTTGTCACGGCATTACACTTCATACATTACGGTGTTGCAAGTACACGCACACATGTGTACATACACCATTGACATTTTGGTGCTTTAATGATTTCTAAGTGACATTGTGTCCACTTGTTTTTCAACGTCCTTGACCCAGACTATATTCTATTCAAATGCGTAGGCATTGTAAATAAATTATCTATTGTACCTAGTAGAATATTACTATTTATTAATTTGACTAATGAGACAGATAAACAAATGTCTACTAGGTACAATAGATAATTTATTTAAAATATTATTTAATTAGGTACCTAGACTCCGGATCTCCCCAGAAAATGCCTTCAACAGATAACGATCGAGTGTCTTGAAAGTCAGCAAAAATTTTACTATTGGAAGTCATAAACATTCTTGAACTGTAAAGCCTATCCCTGAGTTTGTGTTGATACTGAAAAGTGAATTCGAAGAAGAAATTAAATTGTATTTTGAAATCTAATTACATAGTAGCTAACAAACAACGAACTCTTAAGAATAGGTATGGTGACAGTGTATGAAAATTAAAATGTAATTAGTCCGTCAGTTAGGTATTGAAAGACACGTATTTTTGTATTTTGTCGTATAATAAAATGATACTTAGATATAACGAATCAAAGTTTAGGAGTGGGGGCTAAAACGCCATTTATACGTATAAAATGTACATAGAAGTGACGGCGACATTTCAAATCAATATATCATCGAAACTATTGTTTTCCGTCAAATATTAAAAATACGTTTCTAATGTTTTTAAAAAATCTACGGTCATTAAAATAAAAATTAATCATCTATCCTATTGTCTATTTCAAAAATAGGGTACTTAAAAAGATTCTCACATCTCTATGTTGCAGGACATGATCCTGAAAAATGTCGTTGTATCTACTTCCAAACTCTTGTACGCAATTTTGTACATAGACCTGTTCCTTTGGATATTTTTTGTAAACATTCAAAAATTCTTTAACTGGTATATAAATTACCTGTAATTAAATATAGCTTATCATTTTATATTATTGTACTTTTATATAACATGCAAAGTCCATTTAACATTTAAAATGAAATAAAATGATTGAAATCTGTTTTAATAAATTTTTGACGCGACTTCAAATAAAGAAAGAAGTTCGTAATTTGACCACCTCTATGTCGCGTTTGTCGCGTACAGACTCTATCTCACAATTGGCTGAACATATTCTGATGCGGTTTTTAGAAAAGTTGAATCTTCAGTTTGTCGTTAACATACTTTTTTATTTTCAAAACAGTTTATTTTATTATAAAGTACGTGATTATAATCCTTGTTACTTACTTCACAATCAGTGTATGCTGTATAAGATCGCATTGATACTTGCCCAAGATAAATTTCAAATAAAGATAGCAAAGAACCGGGTCCAAAGTATTCCGTAACCAACTTTCCGTTTTCATCAGAATACTCGGATTTTGCGTAACCCTAAAATTACAAGTTATTATTTTGCAGCAGCTCATATAAAAAGCAATTGTCAATATATAGTTTTTTGAAAGGCCATTCAATTTTAGGTAGTACTTAAACATCGTGCCATCTCTGTTACTTTACAAAGAATTTGTAGTGAATGATAGAACTATACTTAAACGCGACTTAAAATTAAGTGGCATTTGAATATTTCAAAATCAATTGTGTGTTACCTGAGCGACCCAAATAACATTTTTACTTTGAACTCCGAACATGCATATGTTAGAATTTTTGGGAAGAATCAAATAGTGTGTTGCTCTACTTAAGTCCGCTATAAGGTGAGGATCCGCATGAAGAAATGGTTTGGATTGGCTTATAATTGATTTAGACATGTTTCCTTGGACTTTCCAGTATATCGCTCTTGCATCATCTTCTAATTTATTACACTCTAGTACGTCTGTACCTTTATAGTATTTCCAGTGACATATGAGATACCTATCCAATCTTTTAAGTAAATCTTGATGTATTCTATAGTGTTTATAATACTTCTTAATTTGTATAACAAACCTCTGGTACCTTATTATATTCATATTATGTAAGTATAAATAGGATAGATATCTTCCTTTGCAAAACAAATACAAAATAAAGCCCACAAAACTAAGTAATGCAGCCAAGTATACATCAATCAAATTTGACGCAAAATTTTCGGCATAGTTCCACTCAAACAACCATGGAATAGTAGCTCCAAGTATATCTGGTTCAGTGCAATTTGTAGTATGGGCCTTAGAGCAAATTATTTTTCCAAAGAAAAAGTTTGGAGACAGCTTCGGAAAATAATAAAGCATGTCAAATACAAAGTGGCTAGTAGCAATATGAAAGGTGAGTTGAGCCAATACCATTTTTCGAAAAATGTCAACTATAGGATCATGATGAACATCAAATTCTAAATACTCTCCATAAAAAAGTACGTAAACTTTAATGACCCTATTGAATTGAAGAGTATAATTAAGTCCGGTCTGGGCTCCACAAAGTTCTGCGATATCTTCAATCCAAATTGTGGATAGTATGTCAAGGAAAAAAGTTATGCTCTTAAAACGTTCAAAAATAACTGTAGAAAATGTATTCGTCAGAGTGTTTTGTCTCTTGACTGCAGTCATGAGAGACACACCTATATCAATAATATAAATAGTATCTACAAAAAATGTGAAAAATATAAACCATACAGGTACACGGGCTTTAACTAAATTTAATGGATACAAGAACAGTACAAGAAGTACGGTGGCAGAAAGAATTCGGTACCATATGCGCCCGAACTGGGAACGAACGTTTAGTATCCATGGAAATTTGAATCGAGTGAACATAGAATTTGTTTGTAATTCAGTTTTATTACATAGAACAAGTTGTCCTATATATTTAGCACAGTGATATATTGTTTCATCATGTGATAAAGTTCCCTTTAAGCTTTCTTTAAATTCATCTGGGCTAAGATTGTAACTTTCAAAGAAGTTAGATAATTCCCACCATCGCCTCTTAATCCAACAGATTCCTTCATCTTCATTTCTATCAAGTCCTCTTATATTTTTTTTATTCGCAAATAATACTTTTGCGTGAGACAATCTGCACCGGGCGTCATTCATGACAAGTTTTTGGTCGTCTGGATATTTGTATAAAGCTCGTATCATATCCACTCGCTTGACATAATAGAATTCACAATATGTGACGCAACGAACTATAACCTTCCTTTTTACATGAGGCACAAAAAAGCATATGTCTCCAAATATTGTCCCAGCCGTAACAGAAAGAATCGGTGTCACTCCATCATCTAGTGAAATGAGCTGGAGTATCCCAGATTTGAGATAATATAAAGAACCAGTATTATTTAACCCCGTGAAAAATTTCTCACCCGGCAACTTAAAACTCATAACTGCAAGATCAGTTATCAGACGTCGAAATGGATAGCTTGTTTTCCTCAAAGTAGGACTATGATAAAATAATGGCCATAGTAAATCCTGCATAATTTCAAGCCTCAAATATCTAGGTAGCTCAAAAAAAAACTTAGGTGTTCTTGCTATGCAACTCTTTTTTTCATATAACGTTTTATAATATTCTTTAACTATTTTCGCCGAGTCATCGTTAGGATTTCTTCTTTCAGCCTCATCAATAATTTTTTTCACTCTTGAATACAAAGAGATAATTCCGCGAAACCTTAATGTGGATTCAGCAAAGGATTTGGGTACTAATATGAAATGTCCTACTACATAGCTCAACACCATCAATAAGCACACCATTATATACTCCAGAATCGTAGATGGCTTCATATCGTCTATATTCATACTAATAAAATAAGAATATATAAATACTACTCCGTAAACGAATGTTGTGTATCCTTCATCTGTTTCATTAAGCTGAAAAACAGTATTTCCGTTGAATTCATAACTATGATAATTTATAATAAACTTTAAACAATACTTAATATATTTTCATTACTTTGTGTGATACAAATGCTCTCCAATCAAAATAAACGCCTTTGTCATTACAACGTTCACAAAAACCTTGGTATGTAACCAGTAAAAAGAAGCACGCAATGCAGTTGATACACATGACCATCACAAGTGAACCACCGACCAAAAGCTTTAGGTAAGAATGAGTAGATCGTAATGCAAAATAGTCTATTATTCTGTAAATACTGAAAGAAAGTTAAACATTGTTTATTTTTGACAAAAAATATTAAATTAGTAACAATTGTAAAAAAATATCTATACCTGTCCCTGGAAGTATGGATGAAATCGAATTGAGATATAGAGAGTAAAATAAAATGTCGCCGTTTTGGCGATAATTTATCGTCGATAATTTTTTAACATAATGGAAAATCACTGCACAAAACGAAAATTAGTCATAACTTTTGAACCGTTAAGAATCAGACCCACATTCTCTCCCTATTTGATTTGGTCCGTACTTGTAGGGACTTTTTTATCTAATTTTAGAGTGGATACATGAATTTACTATTTGCAAATTAATAGCGTTGGACATACTTACACCAAAAATTCATTGAACGCTAAAATATTCGGCCACACTTGAGCTGGTGGGCAGGGATCATTTATAGTTAAACGAAACAACGGGAGTAGAGATAAAATATCAATCAGTAACCAAAAAGCCGATTTTGGTAAATGTTCGCGTCTCATCGCCTTATCCACCACTTGCCTAAAACAAAATATAAGTAATGTCCTCCAAAAAGAGTCATGTCCTTCTAGGTAGTGCCAAATGCATTTAACTACATCATGCGTCACTTCTTATCAAATCGTAATTGAACAATCTTTGTCATGCTTTGGTTTGTTTTAGACATTTCCGAGGTTCTCTCTGTATTTATCTGTTTTGTCAGAAATATATCAAAAACCCCACTACTGATACCTAATCGGTATGGTAAAAATTTCAAACCAAAAATTGTGATATTTTAGGTAGGTACTTGTTAATATCTGATATTGAGGGAGGCCTATATTCAGGATTGGATGTGTTTTGGCTAATATGATAATGAATAAAAGGCCTTTTCGACAAATTTCATACCTGTGTACGATATGGAGAAAAGTATCGATGCCATAAATAGAATCACAAAAATACCAATAACAATACTTGATACCGACCAAAACCGGATGGTAATCCATAACATCGTTACAATAAACTATTGGGTATACCGCTTGTATAGGGCCCTGCAACCAATAACACAAATAAATAATTACTGTAACTATTGATAATTTTAATTCATAGCCATAAATAGCTATAGCTCTAGTATGTATATTCATACAGCATAACTCGTTACTTCTTAGGCGGGGATGTTAACTAAGTTTGGGTATTTATTTTTCTTTATGGGAAATGGGGAGATATAATATTTAAAAAATCTTACCAGCATCACTTTGATAAGGACAGCCACGAGCACGAACAACTTAAACACCGGATGAAACGGAAGAAAAATTAGATCACTCCATTCAATTTCAGGTTCTTCCACTCTTCTATGTTTTTTACCACCAACTTCATCATGTGTGATTATACTCACTGTGCCTGATGCATTTGACCGTTTTCTAAGTGGGTCTTCATAAGCCTCACTTCTTGGAGAAGCCATAATATTTATTTTATTAGTGTTTATACCTACATTTCACGGCTACACTTATAAATAAAATACTTAATAAACTCCTTGAAATAAATCACAGCCACTGACAAATGACACTGCATTGAAAATGGAAACGTCATTAAATAGCTGTATTTATGATTTGTGATATTTTCAAGAAAGACCACATCTAAAGACATTTTAAAAAAGGCGGACACAGTCTCTGAAAACCACGACTGTGGCGCCTGGCTACAAAAGTAGTCTTTTTTGTAACATCGGTACCTATCCACATATTCTTGTTAAGTTTTTCCCTACAACCTAAAGGTTATGTCCGCACAAACAGGTGGTTGAAGAGTACTAAGTATAGGACCAGGCCAAAGCGGGCAACTTGCTTACTATCTAGAGTCCGGTGACACATAAAACCGGGAGAGATACTAGTTTTTTATTATTTTTCACTTAAATTTGTATTACAGTTTCAATTATTCAATCTAGTTTCTATATTCCGAGCATTCAACACTTTTGCTGCCTAAATTAAAGGTAAAGAATATAAATAAAATATAACTTCCACTTAAATAGGTACACATTTTAATTTTAAATGTATAATTAAATCCATACAACCCAGTATAACTACAAATTATTCGATTACTGAATCTAACATAATTTCGTGGACTTGTAGATGTTCGGGTGTGCCCAATATCAGTTTGACTAACTTAGCCACATCCTTTACTTGTAGTTTTGGATCATCTGTTTCCATTTCTGTTATTCCTTCAATTCTTCCACAAGCAATATTTGTTACTTTTATGTTAGCCTTTAAGAAGCGGAATTCGTGACGAAGAATTTCATTGATAGATGTTATGGTCGCTTTTGTGGCTATATAAATAGATTTTCTTGAATCTTTTGGTATTTGATACGAAATAATGTCATTCATATTAATTATATGTCCTCTGGTTTTACGTTCTATCATAGATCCTGCAGCCAGTCTTATGCAAGTAATCAAAGCATTAATATTGATGTCAATAAAGTTCTTAATATCTTCTGTTGCTCCGTTACTTACTAAACAATCAATATTGTATTGAGCATTATTGATTAATACATCTACTCCTTCATATGTGTCTTTAATTTTCTGAAATACTTCAATCATCTGTTCAACGTCTGTGATATTGCATTCGAACAATACAATTTTTCCATTTGCGTTTACCATTTCACTGAACTTTTTTGTGACCTCCTCCAAAATATTTTGATTTTTAGTAAAGCCAATAACTATCATACCAGCTTTAGCTAATTTGTCCATAATAGCAAACCCAATATTGTCGCTGCAATCTGTGACTATCACTACCTTGTTAATCCAACACAGCATCTTATCTTTAACGTTGATGTAAGTAGTTTGAATCTTTAAGCCCCATAAAATACTGTCGCTGGTATCACTTGCATCCTTTATATAACGTAAGTTTCCTCTCCAGGTTTAAAATTATTATATCAAGTAATAAATGCACATTACGCAGATAAGTTCGGTTTGATAACCTAACGAGAATTTAATGTGGTGAAAAATACCGGAATGCTTGCATGGGAACAGGCTTATGATAATAACATAACTAGCCAACTCCGCATCTTTGCTTGCTCAACAATACAGATTTATCGGGTACCTATTATAAATAATTATTAGGTACCTACTTAATTAATTTCATCAAAAAATGTACTTTATTTTATTTTAAAAGTATGTGTACGTTTATATGGTTTTGGTTCGGAAAATATATTTCAGTTTAATCGCTAAGATCGTCTAGTAAAATTCAACAGTAATCGATCAAAATAATGAAAACAATTAAAATCCGTCAGGCATAAAACAAGGTACCTAACCCAAAAAAAAACGAGTAAATATGACAAATAACTTAGCAATAATGTATGAACACAGAAACAACCACTAGCAACAAATCTCTTTTTAATTTTCATCAACAATAATCAACAAACCCTCAATAAATTTCATGTAACGCATGAAATATTATCTCATTCACTTGTATACCACGGGGAGCTGACAAAACCAATAGAACGACGTTAGACACATCTTTTACAGTCAAATGTGGATACTTTTGAAAAAACTCTTCATTTATGAAACTTATACCAGCAGTTTTAAATATCCCCGTACGTACAATCCCTGGTGATATGCTCGATACTTTAATTTTTCGATTAATTAGTTGAAATTCGTTCTTCAATAATGTATTTAACACTGTCATCGTACGCTTAGACGCTATGTACATATTTATTTTTGGTTCGGCAAAAGGGGGCATATAGTGACCACAAATGCTGTTAATATTAATAATGTGGCCTAAAATATCTTTTTTCACCATTGAATTAATCGCATATCTTGTACATGTTATTAATCCGTAAATGTTTGTGTCCACAACATCAATTAAATCTTTTATGACTCCTGTTGATATTAATCCTTCCTTTCCGACAGCAGCATTATTTATCAGAACATCAGTGCCACCATATGCTGCTACTATACCTTCAAAAGCATTCTTTACATCTTCTTCTTTAGACACATCACATTTACAGGGTATTAATTGTCCTTCAAAATTGCCCCAACTATTCATTCTAGTCAACATTTCTTCGACTTTTTCGTCTGTTGGTTCGAACCCAATAACAGTCGATCCTATTTTTACTAGATCTTCAGCAATTTGAGCACCTATTCCATGCGCAGCACCCGTGATAACCACTACTTTATGCCTTAAATGATCCATTGTTAATTAAGGTCCGTACGTTAACACGACAAAAATATTTATACAATTTCAGCAAGAAGTAATACCAAGAACACCGTTCACATATGCTTATAAGTCACCCTTACCCTTATAGGTACCTAGATTACAAAGAAATAACCAAATACTTATACAACCATTTATTATAAACTTACAGCTTAATCTGATAAGCGCAAATTATGGAGTTGCGTGATTAGATAAGTTAAATCTTACGTGATTAACGTGAGATAAGATGCATCATTATCTCGTGGTCTGAAATCACCCATGCAATATACTTAGTTTTTGTTTCATCTACCTCATAACTTTTGACCTTAAGTGTAAACGGTACGTCAGAACTTTTTAGATTTTCATTTATATTTATTGCTTCCTAACGCCCCATTGTTCATGCTACAATAGAGTTTAACGCTAAATCTCTGAATCGACGTAAAATAAATTGATCCCGATTTATCGTCATTTTTTGCGCGCTATAGAAATTCGTCCAATCAGTTCGGAGCTCCATTATGACATACGGGTAATATGGGACGAGCGCGAACGTATTACGTTGACGGTGAATTGATGCACTTGGAGGAAATAGAGCGATCTCTCATGGCTGATTGGTTGCGTTTCATATAAGTAGTATGTTTTTATACATTCAGTTTTTAGATGACATTTGAAGAAAGGTATTGTGATTCGTATTTGATATTTTTTACTATCACTATCACCACAAACTTATTATTTTATTACTCGAATGATTAGACAGACCTATGCAATATTGCTTCTAAACAGTTTGTTTCTACTAACAATTTAAAACGGACATAATACATTTGTGTTTGTGTAATAATATAATTGATCGATTCAACCTTATAAAACAGCTAGAAACTCTATCTAGTATTTTAAATACATTAAATAAACAAACGCAGCACACACACACGATGCATTGCACGTCACGAAATCCATTTTCATTTAATAATTTAACAAACATTGGAATCTATTTGCATGGATTAATGAAAATGATTTTATATTCAGTACATACAGTCGATTGTTATGGACAATTTGAGAGTTAACCATAGTTTATATTATAATTTTTGTGAGGCAAATTAATTATTATGTTTTTCGGCCTACTCACATAACTGTTTGCGGAATGCTGCTTATGCGCCTCTAACTTAAAACTAATCAAGTTCCCCGATCAAACAGTTACGTGATTAAGCCAAAAAAATTAATAATTAATCTAACCACAGATTATCATACTTACTTAAAATCTTTCCAATTTAAAACAAATGGCATGTAAGTTAAACAAAGACTGCCACTGCTACGAGTGAAATTCAACAATTTGTAGTTCGCTGTTAATTAGTGTTTCCTAGACAAGTTTAGGTTATAGTACATAGTTCAACACTGATTATATGCGAGGCGCGAAGGGACTTACCGCAAGGACGGGTCAAAACTTGTCTGTACCTGTTTAATTGCTACTCCTCGCCCATTCTCATTACGATTGCTGTTAGCCCTGTGCTCTTTGTAGTTTTAAACGAGCTTTAATGATGATTGCAGACAAGCCACTTAAAACGGTCCTACTTAATTCTGTATGTTTGTAAAAAGTGTGGTTCGCCGCGAATAATTTAAAACGAAATTTTATATTAAGCAAAAAGATATACACCCTGCTTTTCTAGTTAGGTTCATCTTTAAATTAAGGCAACAAGAGAGATAGTGGTAGGTACTGATTTTTCTAATTTTTCAATGACATTCTAAATTGAAATTTTCATAACTAATTGTTATTGTTTATATATATTATATACAATTTCATTACCACCTAACCAGTTTTTATAATAAACCGGTTTTCCTATAAATAATTTTCAAATCTCAATACAACGTCTAACGATATTTTAATCCTTTATATTAACTTTTAATAGTCATCCATTTTGCTAAAATTAATATGCAATTTGCATGTTAATCGACTGTTAAAAGGAAAATCTTAATTTTAGTCAAGATGAAGTTCTTACGTTGTTAATGAAATTTTCAGCTCGTACAAATTGTTCCTAATGAATAGGTTCGAGTTGAATAGTTTTGTAATGTTGAATAATTGCCTCGCATTTAGTTTTGTGCCGAGTAAGTAATTAGTAATTAGAAAATATTTATAAGTAAAGGAAAGGTTCAAATATTTATAAGTAAAGGAAATTATCATCCATAGGGATTATATCACATTTATGAAAAATAATTTAATGTCCAAGCTAAATGCTTAGACATTCAAGTATTAATTTATTAGAATAAAAATGTTAGTCTTTTGTGAATTTTGTAACAGCTTAAATTAAACTAAAACAGATTATTATAATTACTTTTACATATCATGTAGTTAGGGACCTTTATTATTTTGTTCCAATCTTTAAGTTCCAATAATTATATTAAGACCAGTATTGTAATTATGTTTAAACACCACTAAACTGAAATTGTGTGATCTTTTTACGATTGCAGTCCATATGGTAATTATAAGGACTTTCCAAACCAAAGTCACATGGGATGGGAACATATCTACAAGAAACTTGTGGAATTTATGTATCTTATATAGCTCTGTCATAAAAGGAGCAATGGGATTAAACTATAAGTCCATAAACTATGGATCATATTCACATAATGGTAGTAAAGCTGACGTTGTACTGTAATTCGAATAAGGCAGTTTAAACAGTTACCGAACAGAAAACAAAATAAAATTACGAAATGAATAGACATACAATTTTATTCAAAGAAAATTTATTAGTAATTATAAACCTTTGAAATTAATTATTGAGACACTCCATTCTCTTTGCAAAGACGTGCAACGTGATGGGCAGCTACTGCAGCTCGACGTTGCAAAGTCGCTACATCGTCACCCGTAGCAGGACGCACGCTGAATGCCTGAAGTCTACAGGTACCAGCTATCATTCTGCCTATTACCCTGTCGTGTTATGCCAAAAATATGGGTTACTTTTTACTTACTTGCTTTGGAAAAGTTAACAAAAAGTAAAAAAATTTAACACTTGGTTTTCATACCTATTTACAAGTGAAATTATGTTTTAAAATTATTCATACGTTGTTAAAATAAATAAATTTTACCTTACAGTAGAAGGAAGTTTTAACTCTGGTAGCATGAAATCGATCTCATAATAAACGACTTGCATTGCTGGTCCGTTGTCATCCCTTATTACAAGGTTTTTTGCGCAAGACTCTCCAGATCTTATACTCACACATTTGGCTGAAAACCATATATCAGTTTTATGAAATACGACTAACCAAATCATTTTATGAAGGTTAACATAAGACAGATCAAAAGCCAAAAGCGACAACACGTAGGTTCATTTTGCAAGTGGAGAGCCTTTATGTCTAACTGGGTTAATATCTAGGTACAACACATGATGTGTGTCATAAATAGGAACCTATAAAGACAGATAGTAGGTCTGTTCATATAAAATGGTAGGTATTACACTAACAGAAAATTAAAAGTTACAGATCTCATCAATGAAACTCACCAATAATTTCATAGAATACAAAAACGCCAATATCTTGCAAAGCCTTGTGCCATTTAAGCACCTTTTCCACTGGACCGGAAAACGCTCTCGGACCGCTTTTCTGAAGTGCCTGAATGCGACGATTTAATATAATAACATCACCTCATACTGTAGACATGTGCGATTATAAGCTTTTTACCAGAGGACATTTTATACTTGTACTCAAGTTCCCTACATAATATACTTTTTTTATAGCATTAACCAGTTAACGAGCAGACGGATCACTTGATGGTAAGTAATCGGCGCCGCCCTTGGACACCTGAACCACCAAGGCGTTACAAGTGTGTTACCGACCTTTTGAGAATTGGGGATTTGAGGATTGTGGAGGATTCGGGGATTGGAGAGACTAGGGAGAGGGGTAATTGGGCCTCCGGTAACCTCACTCACACGACGAAACACAACGCAAGCGTTGTTTCACATCGGTTTTCTGTGAGGCCGTGGTATCACTCCGGCGGAGCCGGCCCATTATTCGTGCCGAAGCATGGCTCTCCCGCACTTAAAATTTGATTTCATTGATTAATTTGAAACAAGAATATGTTTCATGATTTTGTACATTATTTTGAACCAATTAAGTATATATTATTCACGTAAATGATATGTTCACGTGCCCTTACCTAACTATCAAATAACTGCACCACTGTCCTTTGTGTAAAATAAAAAAATGACAAACTCACTGAGAAAGTCGGAAATTATAACACCTGAGCAGAGTCGAAACGGATAGCTAGTTTAATACATGCAGAAAAATCATGCAATGTGAAATACAGAAGCCTTCACGGTGGTGAAATTGAATGACAGTAGCTCAGGAAATGACAGACCCTACTTATCTCACTTAGAAGCTAAATCGAACGGCCTACAGTGATGTTCAAGAAATGGTTTACTTTTTTTTCAGAGACAAAGGCACGGATATTGCATCGGCCGAGCGCACCAGCACACTTCCGCAAAGAACTTCACTGTACCTATTTACTTGGAGCAAATTAATAAAAAGAACATTTATACTTTAAGTTTTAGTGTTAAAATTGATTTGAAATACCACTTTTATCCTATATATTAAATAAACAAGACTGAAATGACTTAAATTATTTGAATAGAAGTCGCAATATAACATACCTAACATACGAACTATAATTAAAGGTAAGTAGGTACAGCATAATATTATAACTTAAATTAATGTGTGTAAAAATCGAATAAACAAACAAACAGAAAACACAACACTATCATAATAATTATGTCCAATTCCAAAGATGACAAAGGAGAAAAGTCCTTTTAAGGTTTTTAAGGTTCTAGCAATTTATTTAAGTTTTCATTTTATGAGTCAAGTACGTGAGGTTTTTGAGAGGGGCCTTCTGTCAGTCTAGGGGCGGTGTTTTGATATGGGTGTACGTTGAGAACGGTTGCAGGTGTAATTAAACTAATTGTGTTGGTGTTTCCTCATGTAAGTTGTTGACAAGAATGTGTATCATCGTAAACAGGGATATATATGGGTTCAGGATAATCCGTGTTTGTAATCCTGACTGCCTACTTGGCATATCTATGTTAATATTTTGTAATAATTAGGTAGGTAATTAATAGAGAAACTGTACTGTCATCTACTAGTACGGTTTTATTGTAATAATAACAGTTTTATAGAATTTGAGAAAATAAAATACTTAGTAATTATCTGCTAGCAAACTGTCCAAATAATGCTCTCGCCTTGTTTAATATATTGTTTTTAAAATAGCGTAAGATACAAAGAATTACGTCAAAAATATTATACAGATATTAAGTTATGTTATTAAACAGATTGCTTTACGGTCAACTCTCTAAGTACGAAGCTTAAATGTTGCTTTTATACGCCCCAAGCAAAAACGCAATCCCACGTTAAGAGATGGGATATTTCGGGACTTTGGATAAAGCATAATGAAATGTTTGAATTAAACTATCATAGAGTTCTATAATCCAAGTGTTGTATGAATTATAAATGCGAGATTAAATATAAGTTTGGGTGAACGGATAGTGTACTCATGGGAAGGTACAGTGTTAATATAACAGAGTGGCGGTTAAAAGGGGACGATGATAATTGTACTCAAGTGTTATACTTGCGTTAAAATTATGAAAATTTGTGGATCTCTAAGGGATCACACACCTGGATTATTCCTTTAAAGTTTGAAGGATCAAAAGAGTAACTGCTACCAAAGAAACTAGTTGCTAAGGTAGGTTTGTGTTTTAATATAGTCGTAAATTAGATAATTCAATATGCTCGTAAGTAATCTAGGTGTAAACTTTATTCCCGCTTGCATAAATTGGAGGCCGAACTTTGGGGCTACGGGTGCATAGAATGGGGATTCTAGGCCCATCCAGTGGCCTCAGGGAAGACGGTAGCACAGTGGTCACGTGCTGCCGTGCAAAGCGATAATCAAGGGACAAGTCTCCCTAGGAATGTGCTGTTACAGGCGTTGCACCGCGGAGACTCCGGAGCAGAGGACCCGCTGCCCCGATTGCAGGTGCTCAGGTGCTGAGGGTGGCCACCGAGGTGGTTTTAGTGAGGAATCCCACACTCCCTAGTCTTTCTCCCCAAAAAGCTAGGCGCCTTTTGAAGGTTTCTCCACGTCATCAAAAGAATAGTTGTAAACTTTATTATATTTAACTAGGCACTTACCTTCAGTCTATCCATTTTTGAAACTACCGTAATTTGCGGTTCTTTTTTGGTGACTTCAATTCCGTCTGTAGATTTTTTGGGTGTTGCTGCAAATAATGTTTCTACAAATCAACTTATACAATTGTACCTAATTTTGATCATCAAACTATGTACCATGACTTCATTGTCCCTTAAACCATGTATGGGACGAAATGTGTACATGTCTTTAATTAAATCACGTTCTTACGGTGATAGGAAGACTTTTTGAACTCACAAGCCATTGGGGGCACAACTTGAAACGCGTATCCTGCCAAGTATCGCGAAGTTTCCCTTCAGAACTTTACTTCTCTCGAAAATACAGAGTAATGAGCTTGTTAGACCGAGTTACGGGGCTTTAGCACAGGTCGACCAAGAATACTTTTATGTTTGACAGCGCACAATTTGTGGGTTCTTACTTTATGTGCATGTTTTGTTTGAAGTTCCGTGCTGTTGATATTGGACTTATTCAATATTCAGATTTGCCTTACTTAATATATCATCATGTGTAGGTACCAATCTTACTGATAGCTTCCCCACAAAAGTAGAGTTTAGGTTTTAATTAATTTAATTTGGATATGATTATAAATAGGTTGTAAGTGTAAGTTTTGTTTAAATAAGTATACATATTTCACATAAAAAATTAGCGTCATACTTACATTCATAACTGTAAAACTTCACGCCTGTCTCTCATAGGGGTAATAGACTATGGAACACCAATTGCTACGATTCCTACAACCTCTTTCGCTTCATCAATAGTCATCAATCTTTTCATGCATGCTCGTCAGTTAAGGGTACTATTAATTTGGCCCTTCTTTAATATATCGTCAAAGCATCAATCCCTTAGATAAAGTACGAAAACCGCAGATAACTAGATACATTAAAATTATTAAGTATATCTTACCATTGATTGCATTCTGTAGCATATTTGTCTGTGAATGCTGCTGGGTTTGGAACGGAGTTTTTGAAGTTCCCTCGTACAATGTCTTACTTTTCAGTGGTTCCGTATATGGTCCTATGCAAAAAAACATATACCTATAATTTTAGCTTTTGAAAATGACTTGTGAAATTGATGGAGATTCTGGTGGCTTACATTTTCCTTCTTTCCTGGTAAATTAATAAGTAAAGCTTTATATAGATACCTAAGACTGTACAATTTAGAATTTAATAACATCACGCATTTCATCCCCGAAAGGGTAGGCAGTGGTGCACATTACGGCACTTAATGCCACTGTGCGATGTAACACTCACTGTTCAATGTTATAAGACCCATGTAATAGGGGGTGAGAAATCCGAAAATTCTCAGAAATAACACGTGCGAGTAATTAAAAAAGGAATTGTTGTCTGTTGATGAAAGTATACTCATTTTATGTCACTTATACATGCTACTTATAGCGTGATTTAGTGAGTCCCTCAATAATCTACTAGACCTATTTTACATTAATAAACAGATAACTAATCCTGAAACTTAGAAATGGACAGTAGATACATCAGTGACTCACCACTATTAATATGTGTTAAGACCTGTGGAATGAAAGTTTTAACTTTGTTCCTATCAGCTCCTCCAAAGTTAGAGTTTAAGTAATTAGCTCCTAATCCGGTATCGACGGGTGCTGCACTTGGTTCTACTTGCATCTGTTGACCTATAAAACAGTGGAGCGTATTACCTACAAGACTAGAACACACATTTACTATGTAACTATAAACATATACTAATACAGAATCTAAACGGATCGCTCTCGAAAGGCTGACAAACAGAAATTATTTTTACAATTTTAATGGTTTATTGATTTCATGTTACTAATGCAACGTCAGCGTTGAGCAGTTGATTACAACTATTATTACATAAAAGAAATATTTAGTCTCCCCAACGCCCCTAAAACTCCTAATACCCAAAAGGCCGGTAACGCACTTGTAACGCCTCTGGTGTTCCAGGTGTCCATGGGCGACGCTTGCTGATGCTTACCATCAGGTGATCCGTCTGCTCATTTACCGGCTTATTTGCCATAAAAAATTAATTCCTTACTTATTTTAAAGTGAAAGTCAAAGCATTTATTTAAATTAAATCATAATTTAATACTTTTGAAATGTCAACAAATACAAAATAAATTTAATAAGGTCTGTCAGTCAGTCCGTCAGTGAAGCTAGGTGCTCATTCCAAAATGTAGATCCGAATGGAGAGAAGAACGAGCAAGAAACTCCATTTGTTACTCTTTTCAAAAAAAAGTATGTTCTACAAAGTCTCTGATACATATTCTAATATTGTACGCATATGTGAGAACAATGTAAAGACACGCTTGACGCATTATACTAATTACAAAACTTGTTTTTACTATCACTTGTCAGCGTTTTTCGGGAGCGTACCATTTACACCCATTATGGTTACTTAGGCATAGTTTTTAAGTTTGAAATGCGATCAGATAACACCTTTTAACACGGTTAACGCAGGGAGAAAGTACGCAGAACATAGGGTTGAGTAGGTACTTAAAGATGTTTTCAGCTAAAGATTTAATTAGATATTTACAATTCTCAGTAGGTCATAGTAATCATATAGGTAAGTAGTCGGCAGCAACTTAGCAACAGGCAGGCATGTTAGTTTTATGTAACCTAAGCACGGACAGTTGACGACAATGTATCATCGCCTACAACTTTGGAAAACATAATACGCATGGTTGGAACAGAAAGGTAAATAATTGATTGGTTTTTATTGACACATTTAAATTACTTAAGTACGTAGTTAGGTTTATGGAGCCGCGGAAGACTTAACGAGTTACCGGGGCTGCAGCTGAAAGCAGGATTAGGATAGGAACGGGTTGGTTTTTAGTCAGTAAGAGTCTGATACCTACTCTTTCTCGTCTCACCCAATGCGGGGAAAATCGTTGTACGTTTTTCCATTGTCCCCCCTCAAAAAAAACCTTGTTAGGCAATTTAGAACACAAAAATATGCTCAAAGAGTTTTTTTATGAAACCCCCTTAAACACTTTTATTTATGTAGCCCCATTAAAATAAGATACTTAGGTTATCTATTACGAAACTTTTCAAGGTAAGTCCCTAACTAATCATGAAATCTAAGTACCGATTTAAGTCTACATAACGATCAAATTGCGTGCCAAGTACCTGAAGATTATCAGCCGCCATAAATCAGACATGAAAACATCTTAACTTAGATGATAGGTAATTTTATGTTTCTGACAATTACTTAGTACCTACCTAGGTAAGTACTTAGTAGATAATATCTATAGGTACATCTACTATAGTATCTAAATAGCTCTGTGAAGTATCTTAATTCCTATCATAATTGCGATAAGTAACTGTCGTGAAATACGGTCATGGTGGCGAGTAAATTTAAAGTTCTCAAGCTCAACGATGCCGCTTTAAAACCAGGTGAGTCTACGAATGTGACTTTTACCAAGTTACAAGTAGGAATGTATGATTTTGAGTTTATGGGCACTGACATATTGTGAACGAAAATATCGTGAGTATACCTACTGGTCATTAGGTGTATGTAACTAATTCAAAAAAATTTAGTCAGGAATCCGTCAATTCACCTTCCAACAACCATTCCTTCTCAGTGAGAGAAGAAACTCAAAGAGACAGTTAAAGCACAGCCAGTGGAACCTAATAGTGATTAAGATACATTTTTTACCTGTTACTATGTATTGAGCGCGGTTATCCGAATAGTTCGCTAAGTAACGAGGATCAATTCCTGTCACCATTTGAGTTTGACCAGGGCCCATCTAAAATGAAATGAAAAATATGGAAATTTTTAATCAATTACCTAAGAACAAGGAATTTTTTTTATGGAATAGGGACAAACGTGCTGACGGATCACCTGATGGTAAGCGATCAGCTCCGCCCATGGACACCCGCAACACCAGAAGAGTCATAGGTGCGTTGCGGCCTTTTAAAAAGGAATTGAATTAATCTACTTACCTACTGACTTAAAAATAGGTAACTCACACGTACATACAAAGCCGCAAAAAGCTAGTATTGTATAACAAAGGATGGATTGGTCCATCCTTATATACTGACTCTATAGAGAACTATAATATTAATATTGTAAAAAATAAATAAATAATATTTACTTACGTTAATTTGTCCAAAAGCTGGCGAGTTCATTGCATTAACATCATGGTAGCTTGAATTTGGCGCATTTTGTATGTTGGTAAATTGATGCGCATACGACCCACTTGGAGAATAGTAGACATTTTCTGAAGTTCTAACAATGAAAAAACTTATTAGGTAGACGTATGTTGATTTTAAATCAATTTTTAAAGAAATTGTAGGTCTTACTATAGTACCTAAATAAGAAACTCTGGATTCTAGATACTAACTATTGCACTAAAAGGACTCAAACTCACCCACCGTAAATTACCTATTTAGAATGTTAGTACGAATGCTACGGGTTACGAGCTACAAGTTCGAGCCTAAGTCGAACATAAATAACACTCAAACAACACAAATAAAGTACCTATCGAGACTACTTATTGCAATACATTTTACTTACATCATATTGTTTCTCCCTGCATTCACTGGAAAATGAATCATTTGATTTCCCTGTGGATAATCTGTAAAAAGTTTAAAGTTGTACTGAATTTTTAAGTTATTTGACCCCAATTGTTTGTGGTTCATATTTCAAAAATATTTTATGTATAACCTGCAGCAACTCTTGGCTCCCTAATAACGTATCGATCCATTTTTCCTGCAACTAGTAATTACTAAGTTAACTTATATTTTACGAAACAAAATAATAATTTTTAAATTTTAAAAGTTTGAACATTTAATTGGCGCCAATTTTCAATTTTCATAAATAATGAAATACATCGATCATGTGTTGTTTTTTTTCATTGAAATTTTTGAATTAACTTTTTTTAATGGTACGGTTTTTCTTGGTAACTTTGTATTTAGCCAGTGTTAAATTTCATGATCGTGATAAAAATAAGTTTATTCGGTTATCTATTTTAAAAATAGGTACAACTTACTTGAGCAATAATAATATTGTATTAAAAGATAAATATTCATAGATAATAATTATTTTACGTTTAGACTTTACAAGTCTGCAAACATTAGTGTAGCAGAAGCGCGGGCCGGATAGCTCGACATGCCAGCATTAACGACATTATCCGCCGAGCTCTTATCATCGCCGGTGTGCCAGCTGTTCTGGAACCAAAGGGTTTGGCACGCGACGATGGTAAGAGACCCGACGGTATGTCCATTATGCCCTGGAAGCTGGGAAGGTCTTTGGTGTGGGACGCAACCTGCGTTGACACCCTTGCACCTTCTCATCTTCCAGTAACGGCGGGTTGTGCTGGTTCGGCTGCTGCCTCTGCAGAAAGCCTCAAGCGGCGCAAGTATAACAACCTTGCTGGTAGTTATATCTTTGAGCCGTTTGGGGTTGAGACGCTAGGTCCGTGGGGTCCGAGTGCACTTAAATTATTCCAAAACATTTCAAAACGCCTGGTTGACACATCTCGTGACCAGAGGGCTGGTCTTTTTCTCGGTCAGAGGCTAAGCATTGCCATACAACGTGGCAATGCTGCCAGCCTTCTGGGTACTTTCCCCACTGACGTCGATGCGGACGAATTTTTCGACGCTTTATGTAAATAGTTGTTTTTGTTTTTTCTTATAATTAATTTTAATCTTTAGTTGTATATAGGTATTTAATTTAGTAATATTTAGTTTTAATTTTTTAGTTTTAATTTAGTAATATTTAGTTTTAATTTTTTTTTTAAGTAATAGTTAGTTTTTAATTTAAGTTTTTTATTAGACTGGTTAGGTACTTTATAGTGTTACTATCTTCGTGAACAAACATCAACATTTTGACGTTTTCATTGGCAAATGACAAATCGACAAATGTGACAAATGACATTTGACATTGACATTTCCATTTCTCAGTTCTTGTTGTCGATTTCGTATGATTCATTATAGTTTTTGTGTATTATTTAGGAAATAAAATACATTACAGATATTCAAACATTATGGAGCTTCAAGATACTTATTACAATAAATCAGAATATGTAGAAACTGTAAGTTACGTTTGTTAATAGATATTTCTTTCTACTAGAAACATTCTATAATTTCAATTTCAATAAACAATCTTATAATATTTTACAGGCTTCGGGAAATAAAGTAAGCAGACAAACAGTACTATGTGGATCTCAAAACATTGTTCTACACGGGAAGGTAATAGTTCAAAGTGATGCAATTATTAGAGGAGACTTGGCCAATGTTAAAACTGGAAGGTTTTGTATAATAAGCAAAGGCTCTGTAATAAGACCTCCTTTCAAGAAATTTAGTAAGGGGTAAGTCACACTAAACCTATACATTAATTTATTGAAGCAAAAATATACTTACCATGGTGGGATTAAAATCTTTATTATTATTGAATTATTACAGACCTTACTCCCATAAAGGATGTTGAAAAAAAGGTGATCAGTGTCTTGAAACAACGACAATGGCACCTGGTTACTGTGGTCTTGGACGCACATATAAATAACCCACTGACATTGTGGTGCTTCAATCATTTCTAAGTAACATTATGTCCACCTTTTTTTTCAATATACTTGACTACCATTTCAAGTTTGTATGTTAGGAACATACAAACTTGAAATTCATAGGGAATGATAACTAGACAAATTATATATTATTAGGCATAATGTAAAACATAGACTGTTAAGATACCACAAAATAAAAACTTTGATTTATTTTTCAGGGTTGCCTTCTTTCCTTTACAAATGGGAGATCATGTGTTTGTTGGTGAGAACACAGTTGTGAATGCTGCAGTTGTCGGATCCTATGTCTATATTGGGAAGAATGTTGTTATTGTAAGTATTTTTCTAGTAAACAACTAGCCTTGGAACGATGGAGATGTATTTAATTGTCATCTAATCTAAGGCTTATAAAAATAATGAGAAAATATCAAATTGATTATCATTTTTAATGCAATCACGTAGAAACAGTTTTTGATTGGTAATAAGCCTGCTCTATTTGATAATGTGGCAAATAAAAGAACTTGTATAAAGAATAGTACCGTGAATAAATCAATAAACATGGTAACCCACCGACAGTTTATGTCGAAACATTATTATAAGATAAAGTTTTCTAAATCTATACCTCAATTTTACAGGGTCGAAGATGTGTCCTAAAAGATTGCTGTATGATTGAGGACAACTCCGTACTACCAGCTGAGACAGTGGTGCCCTCATTTGCAAGATACTCAGGCAGTCCAGCTCGCCTCATAACCACACTACCAGAAGCAATGCCAGATCTCATGACAGAATTCACTAAGAGTTATTATCAACATTTCTTACCAACCACTGTACAATAAATTGTATTAATTTGCTAAAAGACATACTTATTTATTTTATATTTCTGTTATAGTTTTATTTGTAACTTTATTACTATGTATTATTAGTCTTGAGGTCTTGAGTTCTTGAGGTCTTAGTACGAGTTTCTTTTACGTAGTAATCGAAACGAGTACGCATTCGGCGCTGTGATGGGCCGGCTCCAATGAACCAACCAATCAGAGGGCCGGACGCCGTCTCGTTTCGATTACTTTAAACGAAAAAGAAACTCGTACTAAGTAACACTCAAATGTTGTAAGAGTATATTATAAGGCTTGATTAAAATGATGGTATTTTTATTGTATTTTTATATAAGCAAAAAATTATTAAACCAGCTTCTGTGATGTGTCACACAAAAGTATGATATACACCACCGAAGCAGGCTAAAAAAAAATATTATTTCTAGTTTCCCAGCCACTGTATGTCAGCTGTACAGTAGTGTACAGTGCAGACAAAGTTGTTGTAATAATAGTTTTTTTAGTGGATAAGCCAGTAAACGAGCTTACGGATCACCTGATGGTAAGCAATCGGCGCCGCCCATAGACACGTTATAATAGGCGTTACAAGTGCTTTACCGGCCTTTTGGGAATTTGAGGAGTGTGGGGGATTTATAAATTAAATGTGAAATCACAAAATTGTAAAATATTGAAATAATTTGCTCCAAAATTCAAAACATTTAGCTTGAAGTCTAAAGTATTGCATTGCATTATTAATAAAATTGTAGAATAAATCTGCTTGAGAGAATACACTAGCTGGCTAAATATAGTAGGTACCTACTGTTTATTAAGTGATCGCAAATTGTTGTTGTTTTCTACCTAATTAGGAGAGAAAGTATTTAATTCCTACTATATAGTAGCTACACAATATTTGGTGAAAAGTGGGTGTTAGGAACACGCCCACCATGCATACAATAGGTTTTCTTAGTAAACTGTAACAAATTTCGTTGATTAAGTAACGGGCTATTAGAAGTTTAGAAGAGGGCATTATCGTTCTATCTTCGACATACTTATTATGGCGTCGCAAGTAAATGGGAATATGTTTTCTTGAATTTACTTTCTCTTTAATTTAAAACTCTTCGGTTCGCTTCTATTAGTTCATACGTATACACTCTTGTTTTCAACGTTCTTGAACGGGCTGCATGGGAGAATTTATTAACTAGGTATTCATTTTTATTCTTATAAAATAAAATACCTATTTGTAATTTTAGGTTTCAGAAAAAAAAACAGTAAAACTTTTTACTCAAGTTGATCTAAGTGGATCGCTAAAATTGCGTGAAACGAAACGTAGTTACAGTTTGATGTGAGGTTTGATGACAAGACGCGAGTTCATTTTGTTTTCCAACAAAGATATTGTATTATTTCTGTGTCTCTTATTTCTAGCAAATGAAAGACAAGTTTTCTCATATCCGATACAGTGTTAGCACAACTTTTATGTTGAGTAACTTGAAAATATTCCTGATTGCAGTCGTCGAACCCATGTTATATTTCGTTTTATTTTAAATTAAAATCTTACTAATTGTAAGTTTTGAGTTAAATTATTTACTATAGATGTTGTGAAATAAATCAAGTGAAACAGATTTAGTATGGAATATCACTATTCCGACCTTTGTATGCCGACGGATCATCTGCTAACTGGTGCGTATTGTTTTTCATTCGTAATCTCTAATCTAAAAACATAATATAAGTGTAATAGTTATAATTTGGTTGATCAGGAAACATCCTTAGATGAAGACCTCAGTTAGATGCTTTGTTTTGACTGGTGTCACATCTATAAGCATTCATACCAAAAATAAAAAGAAAACAAAAGTTTACTGCATTGCTGAGTTTAAGCAGCAAATGCAAAATGTTTGATAATTCTCTGAGTGTTTTTGTTAATTTTACCTATTTTTTAAACAGTAAAACAAAATATTTTATCATAAAACCTAATCACCACTATATATAGAAAAGTTTTTTCAAAGCAGATAACTTTAGTCTACTTTGATCAACTGTTTATTTTTAATCAACTTAATGACCACTAAATCTTCTATAGTGTATATTTTATTTACAAACCCTATTCTCCTAATAAAGTTCAAGATTTGTAATACCAAAAACCCTTGTAGTAAGTTTGTATCAAAAAATAAATTTCATTTGTATTTTCCTTGAGTCATTTGCTATCAGCTAATGCTGCTATGTTATTTTTTATCATTTATTAGATTACCAATTTTATTAGCCAGACACCTGGTTAACATAAGAAAACTGTTTAACTCGTCGAGTACCGGTTTTATAGACACAATTAAAGAACAATAGGTCGCGGTCACCGGTGACCGCTTGGTGTTTGACAGATTAATGAGCTCAATAGGCACCTTTATTTTTATTACTTTCACTTTTCATCGACTAAACTATTACCTAGATAAATCTACCTAGCCAGGTACTAGATTAATTTATATGTCACCGAGTTAAAGTTTATTATTAAATATTTTTATAAGAAACTCTGTACTTATGTGTAGACAATTAAACTTATTGTTAGGGTCAGATTTAGTAATCTATCCACACCTTGTTAATTGACTTCAATAAAAGTGTAAAACATAATAATTACTTACTTGTTATCTATAAGGAAAATATTTATTGTCATGGATGTTCTTATTGCTATTATCAAGGAATAAATTGAAATAGTGGAAGTTTTCCACTTGATTTCATTAGGTTATAGCTGACAGTGATTTTTAGTAGCCCAATTTTTATTGACATAGATATGATTGACATGATAATATCTACTAGTATGCAGTAGTGCTTGTGCTTACATACATACACTCATGCTCGTCATTCGAGGACACTAATAAATAACAAATCATAGTTGCCTTCTAACAATCACTTCATCTCTCATACCACATATACTACAATGTAGTAACTACATAATACTTAAAATATGCTACATAGGTCATTAGTGATTAGTGACTTTTCAGTCAGCAAACAAAGTTTTAAAAAGAAATTGTTATTGTTTGTAAACAAAATTCAACAAAATGGAATGTATTCCAGGACCATATGCTGCAGAATATGCTCCACAATACTTGGTACCAAAGCAATCAGCAGAGTATGAGGTGCGGTCCAGTGTGCTGGTGGATGGGGGAGACAGGTTTGGGGTGTCCGCTGTGGTGTTTGACAAGTATGAAGAGCTGATATGGATGGGTAATCAGGGAGTGAGTAAACCATTATAATAATGCAGTCTCATTCAAAAGCTGTAAACCAACTTTCAGAAATGAGGTGGCACCTCAAGAAGAATTTAATTAATTTCACTGGAGTTGTACCGAGCAAAGTTGTTCTTCATGCATAATTGATTTTTATTTTTTTATCACTTAAATATTAATGTACTTTACTTTTCATTGATGGTACAGATTGATTATTGATATATCATTGTCTATGCCTGTTTAAATAATAAAATAATAATGTTGATTTTACTGTTATTCAATCAATACTTCCAAATGTTTGTCTCTAACCATCTATATTATTGATTTATAGGGCCATGTAACATCATACTATGGGCCTGCAATGCAAAAGTACACATCTTTTCAAGTACATGAGTCGGAAGAAGTGAGAGATATCATAACTGTTGAACAAGGTATATTTGCACTTACAAAGACAACTTTAAGACATCAGATACGAAGAGGGATACCGAAACGGACTTTCAAGTAAGTTTTAACCCATTGAAATTCATCCCATCCTAAATTTGTTCATACAAAAGTAGTCTCTAAGCATTGGATATAAGGTCTATAATGTAGGTAGTGAAGAGCGGTCACCGGTTTAATTTAAAGTACGAAAAACAAGGGGAGGCCGTTTGTCCAGCTGTGGATCTTTTGGCTGTTTATGATGATGATGATAATAAACTATTCTCTGCAATTCTTCTACTATATGGAAACATGTTATTTAGATTAAAAGTAGCACATGCTACTCCATACTATAATTGATCTGTGTCAAAGGGTAGGGTAGTGACTAATTTTTATACTTTTGATTATATATTGATTTGAAATGTCGCGTGACGTCACTTCTATGTAAATTTTATACGTAGAAATGACGTTTTAGCCGGGACTTCTAAACTTTGATTCGTTATATCTAAATATCATTTTATTATGCAACAAAATACGTGTCTAATATTTTTTCATTACCTAACTGACGGACTAATTAAATTTTTAATTTTCATACCCTGTCATCATCCCTATTACATTTAGATCCATTCAGTATCTTGTGTATTCTCACAAACTTTGTAATAATCATAGGAATAGAACTAACTATTGGTCATTAAAATGTATGTTTATTTATGTTTATCTTTCAATGGTTTGTTTTTCGTTCTAGATCACCTAATATGACAGATATGCAATGCCTCTTCCAAGTGAGTGCTACTAAATTGATGATGGGGGGACATCAGAACAAATTAATTGACTTAGATCTCAACAGAATGAGTGAAACTGCTATTGTAAGTAAATCAGTCACATTCTCTCTTAACATAACATAACGCCTTTTATCCGCCAAGGGGCAGGCAGAGGTGCACATTATGCCACTGTACAATGTAACACCCACTTTTCAATATTTATGTTATGAGTCCGATGTAATAGGGGGTGAGCCTATTGCCATATACCGGGCACAATTCCAGACTCTTTTAACTTTTTCTGACATAATAATATGAATTCAATAACCAACGCCCAAATACTGAAAGACTTCAATTTGAAGTTGTACTTAAATATTGTGCCATCTCTGTCATTTTACAAAGAATTTGCAGTGACAGAACTATACTTAAACACAACTTAAATTTGAGGAATGTTTCAGTATTGGGGCATAAGTAAATATTAACTTTGCATGCCGAAAACAGTAGGCGATGTATGTGGGACTATTTTTTATAATTATTACTACCTGTAATTACCATACTTCGTGCAAATAAACGTTCTTATTCTTAAGTATGTTTATTGCAAAATTGTCTGTGTTTGTCTGATTATGTTGAATTGTCGTTTTCTCGACGTTAATACTTTTGAGTAAAATAAGAATAAGTTAATTGATAGGTACTTCAATTGAATAGGCATTGTGTCATACGATTTTTTTTATTATCTGCCCAACATTAAACTTAAACTTTATTTACTCAAAAATAATAAAATGTGAGCTGGATCTTGTCAGCTTAACAGGGTCCAATTTGTATTCTGTGACAGAAAAGCAAAGTGGTAACTTTGACACTTATAATTAATTTTAACATGTTCCTTAATTTTTTAATTCAAATTCATTTAATCGTTTGCAAACATTGGGTACATAATATAGGTATTAACAAAATATACAGTTTCTCCATATTTTGCCTTCACCTGGCATGCAAAGATATGTTATAAAAAATTATATAATAAAATTAGGTACATTAAGTTTAATTAATTGTAATGTTGTTAAATTGAATACAGTATGTCAAATAAATTAAAATTATTAATACCATTGAAATCAAAAATTTAATGTCAAATTAAATATATTTTGTAAAAAGGTAATTATCAATTATGAATGTCACAAAAGCAATGTTAAACAAATTAAGTTAATTATAATTGACTGTCATACACGCAGCCACAACAAGCCCAAGAACCATCATGTCCATTCCGTCTTTAGTCACTTATTATTTTTTTTATAAATAATTTTATTTGTAATAAACAAATCATATTATTATCCTATCTATTTCATAAACAAAATATTCCTGTATTCCTTTACAGCCTATCCAAGAAGAAGGTTGCGCAGTACTGCGTAGTGGTGGTGGTTCGTTAGTGGCGTGTGGTAGTGCCAATGGAATGGTCGCCTTACGGGACATCCGGACCCCAACCACAGCCGAACATACCTTTACAGCACACTCTGCTTGCCTCTCCGACTTGGACATGCAAGGAGATTTACTTATAACTTGTGGATTTACGCAATCGTATGTATTTTTTAACTCAAGTTTTACTCTTGTCCATTTACATTTTGATAATCATTATCACTTTTACTTTTATGACGCATAAAAATTCCTATCGATGATTAAGTACTGGCTACTTCCATATAGGAAAGAAATTTATCATATATCAACGAGTTAAAATCTATTTGGATTTCTTCAGTACTGTACTGGCACGTACGACATTTATTATCGACGATGCCGTACGTGCCTACGGCAGTATTATGGATGTTTCATAATGGTACCTTCGTTATATCTCGCTGTAGACATGTCATATTTTAAAATTTAGATTTTAATTTGTGTAATGAGGTTACATTTCCCATATTTCCGCTAAATAATTAACGATTAATGTTGTGAAAGTTGTAGCAGATTATCCAGACCCACAAGAAGTGTAATAGGGATTATAAAGAGGGATGAAAATTAAAAATCTATTTAGTGTGTGAGTTAGGTAATGAAAAAATATTAGACACGTATTTTTTTATTTTGTCGTACTTATAATAAAATAATACTTAGATAAAATGAATCAAAGTTTAGGAGTGGGTGCTAAAACGTCATTTCTACGTATAAAATGTACATAGAAGTGACGTCACACGACATTTCAAATCAATATATGAAAAAATATGTGTCTAATGTTTTAAAATAATCTACCAGGCGGACATTAAAATAAAGATTAGGCATCTACCTTATCCTCTAACATATAAATCCCTTCTCTTTCACCAGCGTGGGTATGGCAGTAGCAGAGCCCTACGTGTTAGTATGGGACGTTCGTTGTCTACGTGGCAACAGTAAGCCGGGTGAAGGTGCCTGGTCACTGCCCACAGTGTCGCCGCCATTGTTACTGCACTTCCTGCCCGCGTTCTCCGGCAGAGCAGTCGCTTTGTCCGGCGACGGCCATGTTGCTTTATTACATGTTAACGCGCCTAATGCCACTGATCATTCTGTCTTTCAGGTGAGTTTTAACTAAAAATAGTACAGATGGTACTAAAAAGAACAAATATTAAAAATGTCAGATTGCCTCGTTGGCCGAGTGGTCGCAAGTGCGACTGCCGGGCAAGGAGTCTCGGGTTCGATTCCCCGGGTCGGGCAATCTCAGTAGTAGCACGGAGTCTGGAATTATGGCCGGTATATAGGCTCACCCCCTATTACATGGGACTAATGACATAAATAGTGAAAAGTGGGTGTTACTTCTGTGTGTACCTCTGCCTACCCCTTCGAGCATAAAAGGCGTGATGTTATGCTAAAAATGTCAGTCTGTCGGTCAGTCCTTAAATGAAGCTATTTACTCGTTACAAAGTGTAGATTTCTAAGGAAAAGAACGAGTAAGAAGCTCCATAGATTAGGTACTATTTTTCAATCAGATTGACAATACAATTATTGGTTACTGTTAGGTAGAAAATATACATATAGTTAATATTCACTTTTCGTTGGTTCGCATAGGAAGCAATGGACTTTAATTCAGACTACACTACTTGAATTTAAAAATCTGTAACTTTGATATTCTTGCTTCGCAATCATAATTTCCTAGTTGTCTCAACCGAATCAATTTAAATATATATAAGTATTTGTTTAGATTAAACTGTAACATTATTCATTCTCTTTCCAGGTGGACACTCAAAGTTCACAATGCAGTGTAATGGATGTATCCTCCACAAGTCAAGCGCTAGTGTTCGGTGACCAATCCGGACATCTTCACTTGTTCTCCCCTCAACACAACCATGAACCAGTCTTTAATAACTTTTCCAGGTAAACCTTATAAAATGAGTGTTTAGTCTAAATATACACTATAAATGGAATACTTTTAATGTGAATCAAAATTTTATCAACGAATTGGGATGATGACAGGGTATGAAAATTAAAAATATAATTAGTCCGTAAGTTAGGTAATGAAAAAATATTAGACACGTATTTTTTTATTTTGTTGTATAATAAAATGATACTTAGATATAACGAATCAAAGTTTAGGAGTGGGGGCTCAAACGTCATTTCTACGTATAAAATGTACATAGAAGTGACGTCACGTGACATTTCAAATCAATATATCGTCGAAAGTATTCGTTTCTGTAAGAAAATAAAAAGTACGTGTCTAATGATTTAAAATTAACTACCCGACGGACATTAAAATAAAAATTAGGCATCTACCCTATTATCAGAAAATTGGTAGCAAATCATAGTCTTCATTATCTTTATATATGTATATTTGCAAACCATTCGAAAAATTTAATGTCACTAATCTTTATTATTTTTTTATTACAATACAATCCTTACTAATACTTTAAATGTAAAAGTTTGTCTGTATATTCTGTATGTTCATAGGCATCTCACACAAAATAATATTTGTCATTATTCTAACTCATAATATTTTTGTCCCCAGAGCAACAGAGTTCGCGGATCAAGTGTTAGGTATTCCATACGTTGGGTTCAACGACACCACATTCCAATTCTCCACTGTTCCATTACCTCCCCTGACTTCGGGCACCAAATGGTTCAACGAATTACCTGAAGAATTCTTCAAGAGAATATACAGGTGTTTGTTTATTTGACATGTCTTTATTTATGTTTGTTTTATCCTATACAATTTTAAAGTTATCGTTTTATACAGGAAACCGAAACAGATAGATCCAGAAGTACTTAAGTCCATGAAAATGCAAGGGCCTATTGGGTATGCGCCGAATCCTAGATCTTTTAAAAGGAATCAGGTAAGTGAATCTCATTACATTGAAATATTAGGTAATTAAAAATATTGTTACTCTTAAGCCCTAATACTGAAAGGCTCCGGCTAAAGGCTGAATTTTAAGTTGTATTTAGGCATCGTACCATCTCAAGGCATTAAGTCCGCCATTCACTCTTATGTTTTGTGAAGAAGAAAATAAATAAATAAATAAATTTGTAGTGACAGAACTATAATTAAGCGCAACTTAAAATTTGGTACTGCCAACTAGTCAAATTCAATACATTTTTCGAACTGTCAAGAACGACAGTTTTCTGTGAATATTGCACGAGATTGTGTATTGTGACGTCACGTTTTCTTTGCGTCAAAGAACATACCTACGTTTTCTTAGTGTCAAACAACATACCTACTTAAAAATTTGCTGGAAAAATACTAAAATTAAGTTAGTCATACAATCAATTAATAAACATGTGATTGTTTTTTAATATTTTATTGTATTGAACAGTCGAAATAATTTATTTTTGATTAAAGCAAGTACCCAATTGAGTGGCGTTTGTGTATTGCAGCGTTAGTGAAACTTGTCGAATACTTTACAGATGCCGTACATAGAAGACAATTTCGACGATTTGAATTCTTCAAGACAGAATGAAAATAAATATGTCGCGCAACCCATTCCTAAGCACTATCAAAAGGTAACTCTTAATATCTTGATTGACTTCTTTGTTTTTCCTCTGTGATATTCTGTTTGTGACAATTTATTCAGTGCATATTACATAATAGTCAAATAGTCAAACGTCGGCAACATACATAAGGCCGACGTTTGACTATTATCTCGCCTGGTAGTAAGCGATGATGCGGTCTACGATGGGGCACGTCGACCCATAAGCAACCTATACTATTCACTCGGGGCTTGAAGACACCCCTTCAGGAAATACAAACTGTAGTAAAGAATTCCACTTCTTAGCAGTACGCATAAAACTTACACTGTAAAACGAATTATCAAGAATTTACAAGACATTGTACCTAGTTGACATTTAAAAATCTACATAATTATTAAATATCTACTTTGACTTGCATCCCAAATCTCGTACATGGCTATAAATATATGACAAGAATTTTGTTTTTACAGATAGACATACGCTACAATAAGCATGGCCCGAACGAGGAGCTAGAGAAGCTGAATAGAACAGGTCTTCCAGGGTTAGAGACTACGTTACCTAACTCATATTGCAATTCTATGTTGCAGGTAAACTAATTGAAATTAATTTTGTACACAAACTTTATATTTACAATAGATATGTAAAAGACGTACACACTATTGTTTAGTTGGTAGCTATTGTGGACTATGCTGTAGTCAGCAAAATCAATGCAATAAAATATACAAACACTGTGTATAATAAGGTATGTGTGAAAAAAACCCTTATTATTTACTCCTACTCTTTCCCTAGGTTTTATAAGACCTAAGCAAAAGACTAAACACTGATAGACATCAACATCATTTTTATGTTTTCGGCTTACGTAATAATTTGACGAGGAACTCGACTTGTTTCAAGCCATGCTAGAGGCTCATATTCATGAGCAGCATTTCGCGACCCGCGACGCGGTGTCTGTCGCGCTGCTACTGTAGTAGTAGATACATTTATTTAGTATGTCTCACGAAAGTTACAATACAAAAACATCATTTTCTTTTTAATAAACCTTTTAAGTTGTGATATGTAAGTTAAGCGTGAAAATTGGCAAACAATCTTACGTATTATGTAGAGGAGTGGACTGTAATTATAGGCTGTTTGATGACACAAACGCTTATTTATTCAGTCTTTAACTTATTCAGACTTAACACAAAGTGTTGTGCAGTCGCTTCTTCATAAACAATAGTGTGTACGTTTCTAAGTTTGAAGCAGACAATACTAGATTATAAGCCACAACTTTTTTCAGGTTTTATATTACACATTGCCGGTTAAGGCGACCCTCTTAGCACATACATGTGCCAAAGAATTTTGTCTCAGTTGCGAATTGGGTATGCTCACTTTTTATTTAATAATATTATTTTGTAGGCTGTTTAAATAAAAACAGGGAAGATTTTAAGTCAACTGAGGGATGGAATCTATGTTTTTATTCATAGCTTACTTATGTGTGTATAGCTTATTGTTGGTCGAATTTTATTTTGGAATAAATGGTACTTGAGACGATTGTTAAAAACTTGAAACTCCTTGTATGGTGTGCGTTGATATGATATGTCAGCAGACACATAGTAAAGCGATGGATACGAAAGAAGTATACTAATATCAAAAATGTTAATAAGCATTTGATAAACAGCAGAAATCCAACTCCAAAGTAATCTAGTAACTTTAACATACTCATAAAGTAGGTGTCAGAGATGGACTCTCTTTTACTTCTTGTAAACCAACTGATACTCTTCATAAACACAAAAAAGTTCCAACAAAAATAAGATTCGACCAAACCTACCAAACATAAAACTACAAGACTCTTTAATAAAAACTTTGTCTTTAAAATATTTCAGGGTTCCTTTTCAGAATGTTAGATACGTCTGGTGGTGCGCCGTGTCAGGCTAATAACTTCCTTCGCGCGTTCCGTACTGTACCTGAAGCGGCCGCGCTGGGGCTTATATTGCCAGATAGAGGACCGGATTCCAGGGTCGATTTGGTTGCTTTGATACAGGTATACTTTATCTTTATTTATATTGGGATAGAGTTCAAGTTTGTTTGTTTATGTTTTGTCATAAATTTTTCTGATAGAGTGATAGTTATTATGATGATGGTTAGATGTGATTTTTGTGCAAGTAACGCGCGTATAAATTCATAGAAGCTGCTCTTATCTTATGCCAGCAAGAATGATAATAATTTACTTAAGATTTTTTTTATGGAAGTCAATCTTTTAGTGTCCGACTTTAAAATCAGGAGAAAATTTTAAGTCAACAAGAAAGTCTTAAGACTTTCTTGCTTGACTTAAGTCAAGACTACACTAATATGTCTATATTAGTACCACATCTATTTACTGTCTCAACAATCAACCCATATATTTATTTATTTATTTAAATATGCTTTATTGTACACATTTAAGTAGCTTAAAACAAACAATTCAAGTAAATATGCGTACAATGGGCGGTCTTATCACACATAATACTTTCCAAATATCAAAAATAAAGTAAAAAGCCAATTAAACGTTACAGTCCTTACCCACAGAGTTGGAATCGCTTCATTCTGCATCAGATTCACTACGAAATACTGGAGACTCGAAAAAAAGAAAAAGCTCTATTAGTGAACAGTCCCCCGAAACCAGTACGGATGCCAGCTTTGAACGTGAAGAGACCTGCTCCACAAGGGAACCAGGTCAATGGGCAGTTTTCTGAGGAATATCAGTACACGGAGTTGGAGTTCTTGGGACCGGCTACTGAGTTTGAAGGTAGTGAAGAGTTGAGGGAAGAAGGGTGGACGGCTCGGGAGGATGGTGAGTACTTTTATAATTATCTCCTTTAAAATATGGTATGGAATGTTGGTGGTTTTTTTTAATGGAGGGATACCTTTAAAAGAAAAAATACGTGTCTAATTGTATAAAAATAATCTACCAGACGGACATTAAAATAAAATTTAGGATACTACCCTACTGTAACATGACCATGTACCATCAAACTTTGCCTATAATTAAATATTAGTTAGTATTAGAATGGGTACTACAAACTAATTATTTTAATTTTTAATTTATCGTATCCAGTAGCGATCTTGTTTGGACAACCTGACTATGGAGGTAGGTGGTTATTGTTATATAGAGAACGATCAGTCCAATCACATCACTTAATTTTTTTTTTTTCATCTAACGCTAGCTTCAGATAGTCAACATCATTCTGGTTCTGTTAAGAGGTAAAAATATATTTATGACACGTTTTGTGTTTTAGTTTGACTCATCTGCATTGTAGTTTCAATTTCGTTTCTACTACACTTTTGTTTTAGTAATTCTTTTTAGAGTAGTCAAAAGCTTCACGACATCGAAATGATACCGAATCGCCCTGATTGGTTAGTTGATTGGAGCTGACCAATCAGAGCGCGCGAACGCGGTCTCGTTTCGATCTCTTTAATCATAATTTCATAAAACAAACTCGTACAAGCCCTCAGATAGAAAACGCTGAACTCACCTGATTTTTAAAATATTCACCTGTAGTTTGTAGTTGATTTACCTATTGAATAATTATATGTAACTAGCAAACCCGGCGAACTCCGTTTCGCCACCAGGCTTCGTTTTATGTGAAATTTCGTTTGGTGATTAAAAGATGAAGAAAAATTGTTTTTCCTCACGGAGCCCTAGACCTTTCCAACGAATGCAAAACCGTGGAAATCGGTTCGTGCGTTCTGAAGTTATAGCGTCAGGAAGGAAAACCCGAATTAGTTTTGCATCGTAGATTTATTACTGCGAATGCAATACAAGTATGTTCGCTTTCATAGTATAAAGTTAATCCTTACTATCCTTACTAATATTATAAATCGGAAAGTGAGTTTGTTTGTTTGTTTGTTCCACTTTCGGGCCGTAACTACTAAACCGATTGCTTTGAATTTTTGCAGACGTGAACTTAGAAGTCTGAATTAAATAATAGGGTACTTTTTATCCCGGAAAAATTTTATATTCTCGAGGGAAAACGAAATTATTGGTATAGATGGCGCTGTGTGTATTGGTATATGTCACATAGGCTATTTTTTATCCTTTTGTGACGCGAGCGAAGCCGCGGGTAAAAGCTAGTTACAACTAAGTCTATCCTTAAACTACCAGGTGCAGGTGATGCAGATTCAGTTCCAGTGGATAATCATGAGCTGCCAACTAACCAGCAAGCGGATAGAGAAGAGTCAGAGATATCACAACTCTTCGCCATCGGGAGACATCAGCTCAACCGGTGTATGAAGTGTAACAAGGAGGTTGGTTACCGTTTTTTGTTTTTATATTTGATGGGCCTACGATGGAACACGTCGTCCCATAAGCAACCTATTCACTCGGGCCATAAAGATTGCTATACTATATATACGGGCAGTTCCCATATCCTATTTTCTTATTGTTCAATAAAAATTAAACCAAACGTTGAGTTTTGTGCTTAGCGAGTTAGATAGTAATTAATTCAATGTTTTTTATAAACATAAAAGCATAGTACAAGACCCAATATGTATATCAAATAACATCACGCCTTTAATCCTTGAAGGGGTAGGTAGAGATACACATTACGGCAGTCAATGCCACTGTACAATGTAACACCCACTTTTAACTATTTATGTTAAGTCTAATGTAACAGGCGGTGAGCCTATTGCCATTACCGTGCACGATTCCAGACTTAGTGTTACTACCGAATTAAAAAAAAACCAGTAATGCGGTGCCCCTCTCGGGTATCGAACTCAAACCCCCTTGTCCAGCAGTCGCACTTGCGACAACTCGGCCAATGACGCAGTCAAACCCTATAGTTAATAATAATAATCACAAAACCTAATTTTGTCATTGTATTAAATTTTATACAATTTGTCGTCAGGAAGGCCGGGAATCCGTAGTGTTGGCCTGCGCTCTCCAGTATCCCACAGCAGTCCGGGAAGGTCCGGAGCCCCGGGGTGGGTTCTTGGAACTAGTTCGCGCGTCACTAGCGGCGCGACGTAGTACGCCGGCGTGGTGCGAGCATTGTTCCAGGTTTACACCTACTGTACAACGGGGGAGAATCGTTAGGTTAGTATCTTAGCTTGTTAAGTAATTTGATTTCGATGAATACAGAAAATATATTTTTGATCTAAGAAGAAAATAGAGACGATAAGAGAGAGAGAGAGAGAGAGAGAGAGAGAGAGAGAGAGATAGAGAGAGAGAGAGGAGTTCGTCACTTAATCTCTTCTCATGGGTATTGTCCTGACTACATGAATTTGTCACTTTCTGTTCATCTCATTTGGTGTGACTGGTTAAAATGTATAGATTTCCTGACAAATATTTCAGCGATTCATTGTTATTGTTGTAGAAGTTATAGATTTTACATCTACCTGTTTGAAATATATAATACCTCTTTTTGTCAATATTCCAGATTGCCACCGATACTAGCAATAAATTGCGGTGGTGCTACAGTTCGAGAGAAGGCCTATTGGGCTAAAGGCGCCCAGAAAGAGATGGTGAGAACATTAATCATGACATTATAAAGAATTTTAAAGTGACAAAAGTTCGTGAAATCTTTATTTGTAGTAAGATCTTTTGATTATGTACAAGTCTGAAGCTTAATTTTAATAATATAATCAATTGGGTACTTGCCAACTAGTCAAATTCAATACTTTTTTCGAACTGTCAAAAACGACAGTTTTCTATGAATTTTTGTTACGTGATTGTATTGTAATGTCATGTTTTGTTAGCGTCAAACGGCATACTTAGTTCTTAAAAAATTGCTGGAAAAATATTTTGTTGGTCATGAAATCAATTAATGAAAGTTTGGTTATTTTTTAATATTTTTATTGTATTGAACAGTCGAAATGATTTATTTATGATTAACGAAAGAACCCAATTAAACATAAGTTTATTTTTTGATAATAATACTAATTTGACTGACAAGGTCTTGCTTGCCTTATTATGTCTTTTAACAGTGAAAAATTAATGTTTCTTTTTTTTTCGTAAAAACTGTCTTGTATTTGTTCTTAACTGTACTGTAAACGTACTAATCCAGTACGATCCTTAGATTTGTAGTACTTATTTGTCTTTACATTGTTATATGATGTAACGTATGTTTATTTAAGCCGGAGATGAAGCGAGGTGGCGGTGGTAAGCCGTGTCGATATGGACTACACTGCGCTCGACCAGGCTGCCATTTTAAACACCCAGAGAGGTGAGAAAGTTACAGTTTCATTTAATTTATTATTTAAAGTAATTGTTAAATTACTGTGACATATAATTAAGCCTTTAACTGCCGACAAAAACTGTTAAAAGCTAATCCTCCGCTAGCATCGGTCATGTTTGTCCGATAAGGCATCCAATGTGTTAATAAATAATGTTTCTACGGTCTACTCATTTAGTTGTACGACGTGACTACTCAGGCAGCTCATGTTGGCCCCGGTGTCAGGGCTCATACACAAAACTGCGATGTGACGTCGCATCGCAAAAATGTGCGAGCTACCTCTACGCATCGCAAGAACTTGCGATTTGATTCGCATCGCGCATCAAATTCTTATCTTCCCAAAATCTTCTTTGTTTCTTTTTCCTGTATCTTCTAAGCAATAACAGAAGTGCACACTTCTTTTTACGATCCATGACACGACCTAGTTTTCAATTTTAAATACGTTTAGTACGGTTGACGGTCGTCGAAGGAATGGTCACCCTGGGAGACGCCTTGTCGCACGAAATCGCATCGCAGCAATTAGCATCGCAGTCTTGTGTACGAGCCCTCACTCAAACTACTCAAAGCAATTCGGAAATTTTCGAAAGAGCTGTATTAACATTCTTATGTTATTGAGAATATGAAATGGCTGTTTTGTAATAAAATTCTTCGACATAAGTACAACTTTACACTTTTTCTTTATCTGTTATGAATATTTTTCAGGCCTAGTCCCCAAGCAGGGTCATCAAAGACACCTGCGCAGGAATCGAACTGCGTTTTACCGCAACAGCTACTTATAAGACTGCAATCTGATGGTGACGTTGTAATTAATGATAAGGTTAGTACAATATTTACACAAAACATTCTTACTTTGAGTACATTTACATTGTGGTCGCTTATTATGAATCATCTTTTCAAAATATTTTATTCATATATTAATTACATTACATATTTCTATAAATACCCATGACCCACATTTTAAACAACAATTTTCACAAAATAAACATTTTTTAGAATCTAGTTTTCTACAAAAATATTTCTGGCAGCGGTGGGATTCGAACCCACGCCTCCGAAGAGACTGGTGCCTTAAACCAGCGCCTTAGACCGCTCGGCCACGCTACCCATGAGCATTGTATCGAATTTTGTTATCCCTTGATTTGACCGGGAACAAATAATTTCTAAAAATATTTTTTTAGGCATGGCAATAAAATATACAAAATGCTAAATATAAATTGACTCCTCGAACTATTTGCATACATTTTTATATTTTTCACATTATTCTTCCAACATGTCCGCTTGCTTTTGCTTTTCTTGCTCGTCCTTTTGCTCTTTAATGCTTTTTTCACTGTTATTTCTATTGTAGAGATATTGATATATTGATTCTTTTTTATTTGTAGATTTTACTCTATACTATCCTAGATTTTGTGTATTTTGACATGCGCTACAAATATTTGACATTATTTATTGGTTTTGTATTTTTTTTATTATGTTTATGACATTTTTTCTTATTTTAATTAACTAGCTTACTGGCGTTTTGGTACTTACTGTAAGCCAGTAAGTGCACGGTTTAAATAAATAAATAAACTAACTTCATGAATATCATTATTTGTCCTACATATCGCTACTTTACTATGCCAGACATACATAAATCTCTTATAACACCTTTGTCGTGTTTTTAAATATAAACCTATAAATCTATTTTAGGTGGAATCCCCAACAGACCCACATACACCGAACAATAGGGCTGACAAGCATAAGAAAAAGAATGTAACTACACAATCCGAAGAGGAATATACCCTGTCCGCAGCCGTAGTTTGTATTGAGGACAACCCTAAGAACTTGGTTGCGTACATACAAACAGCGGGGAAAGATGTCGAGCCTGTTTGGTACTTGTTCAATGATTTGAGGTGAGAAATTAGCTTCATAATATTATAATTCTGTCCTGTAAAGGTGGTTAATAGCATCATCATTATCACGTCTTTTATCTCCAAAGAGGCACATTAATTGTAAATAAATTGTACAGTGGTATAATGTAACACCAATTTTTCACTATTTATGTTATGAGTCCCATGTAATAGGGAGTAAGCTTATTGCCATATACCGGGCACAATTCCAGGCATCGTGCTACTACTAAGATTTTTTTTAAATCCTGTAATACTTTTCCCGGCCCGGGAATCGAACTCGAAACCACTTGCCAAGCAGTCGCACTTGCGACCACTCGGCCAACAAGGTAGTCAGTCAGAAGTGATGAAATATTAATGAATCATTAAATGTATGATTTATGCAATTAGATCATACGTTTATGGCAAGGTGTATCTATTAAATATCACAAACAATAGTCTGCCATATTTATCAAAACCTGTGAATTTATAAGAATAAGTTGAGCCGCAAATTACGTTGTATGTTTTTTTTAGAATTTTCAAAATGTTAGTTGAGAATTTAAGAATATAAGAACAGCAAAAAAATCTATCTACCCATTTTCGAATTTTGTGCTTAGTAACGCATTTTGTTGTGTATGTACTAAGTAGACCTTATCAGATATTATTAGACATTGTAACATAACATCACGCCTTTTATCCCCGAAAGGGTAGGCAGAAGGGCACATTACAAAACTTAATGCCACTGTACAATATAACACCCACTTTATACTATTAATATTATGAGTCCCATGTAATAGGGGGTGAGCCCAGTGCCGGATTTATATCCTTACTTCCTTACTTATGTTATAAATCGGAAAGTGAGTTTGTTTGATTGTTTGTTTGTTCCACCTTCACGCCGTAACTACTAAACCGATTGCATTGAATTTTTGCAGACGTAAAGTTAGTAGTCTGGATTAAATAATAGGGTACTTTTTATCCCGAAAAAATTTGATATTCCCAAGGGAAAACAAAAGTATTGGTATAGATGGCGCTGTATGTATTGGTATATGTCACATAGGCTACTTTTTATCCTTTTGTGACGCGAGCGAAGCCGTGGATAAAAGCTAGTTGTTTATAAGTGTAAGCCACTTTTTTTCGCCGCCCCAAGTTCCTACTTTCATATTTGAGGGGGGAAAAATCATCTAATGTCTGCTCCCGCCTTAGGTCAAGCGAGTGGTAATGTCGGTCTCTTATTGACTAAAAATCACCACGTTCCTTCTCCTGCTCTTCAACCCGGAGCCCCGGCAACCCGTTAGGCCTTACGCGACTCAAAATCGATGAGAGCCGCACTGCTATCATCTATCACTCACTAGGTTTCGATGAATGAGTTTATACAGGGATTTATTTAAAGTATAAAAAACCATGATAAAACTAGTGAACGTGTTTGACTTTTATCATCTTAAATCGAATGACCGTCCTCTACAATCTACCACCCCTAGGCCGCGGCCTATACAGCCTATTTATAAATCCAGCACTGGGTGAGCCTATTGCCATATCAGACGACATTTTGTAAGAAAATCAGAATATGTGTAAATCATTTTTGTAACTATGATTTCAGTATTGTCCCAGTGAGTGCAGACGAAGTGGTGCAGTTCGGCGCGTGGTGGAAGACTCCGTGCGTGTTGTTCTACACAGCCGGCGCCGCGCGCGCCCCGCCGCCGCGCTCATAGCACGCGCTACTGTATGGACCGCGGGGCTACGGGTGAGTTGTATCGTTAGTAATAAGATACTCTCATGATAGCATTATACCTTCACCCTGTCGCGGAGAACCTAACGGGTTACCGGGCCTCCGGCTCGACGTGCAGGAGAAGGAACGGGGTGGTTTTTAGTCAGTAAGAGTCTGACACTCCCTCCCGCCTCACCCAGGCGGGAGCAGTCATTCGATGATTTTTCCCCCCTTAAAAAAAGTACCTTCACCCTAAAAGTCAATTCTAAAAGTCGTCGTTGGTTCTTTACATCCTGTAACCAAATCATTGATTTCATTTTACATCATGAAGACGTCTGAAACTCGTCATTGGTCGATGAAGTACGATTGTCCAAATTGTAGATCCCTATCCCTATGGATAGTATTAACACAGGAGACAACAATACAATACTTTTGTTATAAGTCAGATCTCGATTACGAAGGAAATCAATCACTATAGAATTACTTTAGTTGTTTACCAAAATTATTTCCGTGAAACATGTGCTTTAGACTGTGTAAATAACAATTTTCATAAATCCCTAAACACAAATATCCCTCAAAATAATTACAATGAATTTATGTTACTAATAGAAAGCACATTATTATTAGCAACTTATTCCATTTTAAATTTCCAGTGCTATCGTGAGTCCATACGTAATGAGCGAGATGTACTACTCCGTATCGACTGCGACGCAGGCGCAATACAACTTCGTTCAATAAATTCCAATACATTGTAAGCTCAAGGAAACGTTCGGCGGCACAAAATTGTGTGAACAAATGTATGAACTGAAATTATTAATTAGTATGTGTAAATTATGGCGATTTTAGCTAAACGATATCCTGGTTTGATGAAGATGTTGAACTAAATTAGTGTAAGCCTTTGGTTAATCATAAACTATTATAGTGTAAGGAACCAATGAGGGTTAACGTTTTTGTTGTCAAGTATTTGATCCTAGGAAATTAGGTATTGAAAAATTAAGTCCTTGATCTATCTTAGCGCCATTTAGTGAGGCCAAAAACGTTACCTATCATTAGGAATGCCTAAAGGGCATGCTTCGAACCGTACTTATAACAGATACTAAACAGTATCTGAATAAAAAATAATTTGTTTAAACCGACATCTTTATCAAACCAGTTTCGCTAAATTATGTAAAATTTATTAAGTTATGGAATAAAGATTTTTTTATATTCATGCAGATTGTACTCATATGAGAAGAGGCTGTCTGATCTCAAAACTTGCAGGATATTTTACATATATATTTGAAGACGCAGCCTAAAGTTGCGATATAATGTGCCTAAATACTTATTGTACGGATATATGTATTCCTTAAAGCCTAATACTGCGTAACCTACCTCAAAACATATTCCGTTCCTATAAAGATTGTTCATTCAAGTTTTGAGAATACACAGCTAAAGAATGTATTTTTATATTGAGAGAATAATGGTAACAATGGCGAAACGTCTATTAACTCAAGATTGATCTAAATTATTGATAAGTAAATGAATGAAGTTACGTAATTGAATGTTTGTGTTATCTGTTTGCTTTTGACGAATTATTACTTAAATTAATTGGTTGCTTTATTTCACATATCGATGGACGTCTTTTTAAATAAACACTGATGTATCGAGATTATAAGTATCTTAACATTTTTCTTTTCTTCTCTTTTATTATATTATTCTATTCATGACCAAAACTTATTTAATTACTTAACGTAAAAGCCGTATTTCCATGGAATGGTCTAATTGGGTACTTGCTTTTATGAAAAATAAATTATTTCGACTGTTCAATACAATAAAATATAAAAAAATATTCACACTTTCATTAATTGATTTTATGACCAATTTAATTTTAGTATTTTCCAACGAATTTTTAAGAAATAAGTATGCTGTTTGACCCTAAAAAAACATGGCGTAAAAATACACAATCTCGTACAAATTTCATAGAAAACTGTCGTTTTTAACAGTTCGAAAAAAGTATTGTGAAACAAGTGACAAGTGAATTTATTTCTGCAAATAGGCTACAAGGCAGCACTTTTACACGTCAATTTTATCAAGCGAACGATGCGGTCGACATTTCCTAACTGACTACTCTGAGAAGAAATGCCGAAACAAACTCAGAGGTCTGTCTCTTTTAAAGTCCAGACAATATGTATAACAGATTATGTGTGAAAACCGTGCAAGTTCTTTCTGTAGTGGCCTATAATATTGAATTTGACTAGTTGGCAAGTACCCAATTGTTGGACGACTAGTGATGTAACCAACAAGTACAGTACAGTACTTGATTTGGTTCAAATAACGTAATATAACCTCGTGCGATTGCAACTAGTCTGTCTAGTAACGATTGGGGCCATAATGGAATGAGGCTCTAACGCCCCAAAATTGAAAGGGCTTAAGTCGCGCTTAAGTATAGTTCTGTCACTACAAATTCTTTGTAAAATGACAGAGAAGGCACGATATTATAAAATTGAGCAGTTTTTCAATATTCGATCGTAAGTGAGCGACTTACAGCTATCTGTAATCAGTAATCACAAATCAATTCAGTGTTTTTTCTAAGGTTTACTTTTTCTATAAATCATCTTATATTGACAATTTCTATCAACAATCATTCGACCTTATCGCATCTATATTATAATTTATAATACAATAATTTGTTTTACGTTTGTTCACGAATGTAACTTTCACTCAACTGTATAGATGTAAGAATTTATTTATTTTGGTTGTGATATTACGTGTAAATTAGCGAATTACTAAATTCTGTCTCTTCCATTGAATTACGTCCATTCAGCCAATATAATTATTTAAACTACGTGTGAACAAGCCAATGGGTTTAGATAGGTTTTTAGATAGTGATTGCCTTGTGGCTGTACTGTTTTAATAATTGTATCATTGGTATTGTTCATAGTAATCTAAATAAAATGTTTATAATACATCCTCTGTTTCGACTCCTCGTTATTACTTCATCCCTTCATGGACATAGAGAACTGACTGAGCTATAGCATCACCCTATTCTTTATAACAACTACTGCAATCAAATCTCTTTGGTACAGACACTACAAATCAAACTACCAAGATATATTATCAGTTTTAACATTATTTCATATAATTTCAACCTTTTTGATTTGTAATAAAGCCGAAATTGGAATGACATTTTTTGATATGATGGTGTCTACACCTGTATCGCGGTTATGAAGCTACTGTTCATACAATTATTTCTTACTCAGGAATTCAAATACAAAGACTACAGGGTGTCTGAAACTGAACCCGCCAAGGCAAATTCGTATAAAGAGGTCATTCGCTAAATAATATAGAAAAGAAGGTTCAATCCTTTTCTAAAATGCGAATTTGCTACTGCGAGTCCAAATACACCCTGAATATTATTTCATCGTCCATTTTCTATATATGAGTTTATTGGGTTGCTTGCCAAAGCGATTGACTGATCTTTGTATGTAACGGAGTGAAAAGAGATTAGTAATTATGTGAATAAATAATGTTATGTAACATTATTAAAATGTTGAGTTATACGATTGATACTTTCAACTTTAATTGCACAAGATTTGATGACAAAATAGGATCGGAAACTATTGCATTAACTTGTATTGAATCGAAACCGAGACCGCGTTGGACCGTCTGATTGGTCGGCTCTAATGAACCAACCAATTCGAGCGGTGAACGTGGTCTCATTTCCTGTTAAACGTAAAATAAACTTGAATTAAGCCCTCAGTTAAAAAGAAAAAAAAGATCGAAATGTCGTACCTTTAATTTAAAGCTACTTATTTAGATGTTATAGGTAAAAAAAGTTCTGTTGATTTGATCATTTTGCTCAGTGTTGTTCAGCTTATGGTAATTAAAGTTGATGGTAGAAATCGTGCCAAGTAGCCGAGGCTATGAAATATTTCAGCTATCTTATCAATCTACAAGTTACAGAGCGTACGTACTGTGATTATTTCAAATTTTTTAACGAATTGGCGTTTTATGATAATAATTATAAAGATGAATTTTCATCGCTATTTAATTACGTGAAATAATCACAGTGACTGTCTATTTTTTAATATCAGAGGATTCCGCTTTGTCCTACATGGTGGCTGGTTTTAAATAAAAACGAATTTGAAAATAATTAACATGTTTTATTTAAACTTCATAATTTCAGACTTGTACTTAAAATTATTATTCTTCTTAAATAAAATTGTTGCTTCTAATATTAAACATAAATTAACATTAAACCTTGGAATTATTCGAATTACATACGACGCAACACGGTAAAAGTCACGCAACCCTGCCAATCAATATGAATCCCTAGCGTGGCTTGAAACTAGTCGAGGTACCTAATCAAACATTTACGTGAGTAACTGTTAAACATAACACTTCGTTTGCAAACGTCCTCTTAGAAATAATACTATATCAATCGAAATGGCATTTTACAACCAATCAGAGACCGCAAAACAAAACCAGTCACAATCAAGCACCTTAATCCTGTTCAGCCGTCCTCAGTTCAGCTTTGTGATGCTCATCCAACACACAGGTTCTCTCAAACCGACTAGTCGCAACCTCTTTTATACTATTATACACAGTCGGATAATACGCTATAGTTGTCTCAAAATGTTCCCTATCTAATCTAAATAACTCACAATTGGTTACTGCTATGGCTGATGCCGTTCTAAAATGGTGTTTCATTACCAAAGCTATTTCTCCAAAGAAATCACCGTCTTCTAAATGGCAGATCTCCTTGCCAGAGTCTGAGTAAATGGCTACTGTTCCTCTGTCGATGAAGTAGATGCAATCGCCTGTGGGTAGAAAAAGCTGTAGATTTTTTTTTATGGGGTGACGTTTGGCAACACTCTCGATTATACAGTAGATTAGAGTTTACTGTAGTGACGACGTACATGGCGAGGATCTTTATTATGACTAGATAGATATTACGTAAACGAAGTTCAATACACTGTAAAATAAATTGGACCCCAGAAGTCAATCAAAGCATCACTGGCCACAGGCCACAGCAGAAGTTCCATGGTATGCATTAGGCTTCAGAATAAGATTAATTTTGATGTGAACTCCCTAATTGCTACAATACAAGAACTTAGTGTAATCCTGTTACAATACACAGTTTGAATAAAGTTAAGTTACCCTATAACTCAAATTTCTAAAAGGTTGTTAATAGTCTCTCTACTCCTATAGCGCAGCAGGTGTTTATGGGCGGCGCCGATTGCTCGCCCTCTGGTGAGGTGATTGGTTGGTTCATTATAGCCGGCCAATCAGAGCGCCGAACGCGGTCTCGTTTCGACGTAACACAAATTCAGACTAAACCCTCTGCTCGTTCGCTGTCCTATATCACAAAAAAAAACAAGCAAAAACTTCTTACCCACGGTATTGATCTTGAATATAATATCACCAGCGATGTATATGACAACTCGCAGTTTAAAAGCAATTTGTACCAGTAAGGAACTTGGTAGTTGCTTCAGAAATTCCAGTTCTCTCACTAACTGACGGCCAGTGTGCATGAGTATGTCTTCTCGTAGTTGACCAGACACACAGCCGAGCATACGGGATTCCTAATTAGAAAGTTAATTAACCCTTTGAGTACCGTCATTATAGACACAAAGAACTAGGATAGGTTGCGGTCACCGGTGTCCTCGCGGTGTTTGACAGTTTAAAAGAGGGACAATAACTCGGTATCTATCAGTCTCAGACAATTCGTATTCACGTGCGCGGTCGTGCCGGAGCGACGTTGCCGTTACCACACACGCTACTCATGAGGAAGAGTCCTTCTGTAACTCGAAACTAGTAGAGCTTTTCTCAGTATATTTACATGAGCAACCATCTTTTGTTAATTCAGTATGTCTCACGATAGTTATTATAAAAAAAAGACTGTATTCATTTGTGGATATTAGGTAGGTAATGTTAAGATAATCATCATCGATTCATTATTGTGTGATCGGCACATTAGGAACTTTTTATTACATTAAATAAATACTACATGGACATAATATGTAGGTATATTGATCTGCATCGCAGGCCAACATTATAATTATGTATCAAACACGTACCTCAAAGTATTTAGACTGAAACCTTATAGCATAAAACTTGAGGATTTTGCTTTTCAACCTTGGCGGAAAGTTTCTGTGCGCCATGTAAGTTTGTAGTTGTTTCTTCATCATATAATAATGTGCTCTGGCGGACTCTTTACCAAACAGTGCTAGTATATATTTCAATGTGTAATGGTATATGACAATCTGTAAAAAATATATAACCTTTTACGTTTGGAATATCCAGAGTTATTTATACTGTATTTTTAGTCTGCCCATTGGCTGTATTTCTCAAAAACCACTTTACGTTCTTTTATGAATTTATAAAACTTTATTATATATTTTTTGTACCGCATCATCATCATCATCAACAGCATACAAATGCCCACTGCTGAGCAGAGCTTCTTCTCACAAGGAGAAGGTTTGAGTATTAATCTCCACGCTTGCTCAATGTGGGTTGGCGATTACAAACTTATAACCAGAAATTATAAGCCCAGGTTTCCTCACGATGTGGTCCTTCACCGTTTGTCAGTGGTGTCTAGATAATCTTAGACAGTACATACATACATATAACTCGGAAAAAGTCAAATTGGTACTTTCCGTTGGTAGTTACCTATCATACACAACATCCTAAAACTTCACCTTACCTTAGAAAAAATCCAGCAAGTCACAATGAAATTTTCGAAGCAACCTTTCTGTTCTAGAAGATTCATGTTTGTATTTGTCGTTAACATACCAACTGTAAGATAATAAGAAAATATGGAAGGTAAGTTCACAGACCAGTACTTGGTAACCTTAATTAATAATAGTCTTGTCGTAATAGACTAGAATCCATTCACACTCTTCCTACGAGTGTCGTGATAGGTAACTAAAGACCAAGACATGACACATAAATCTGATTCTTTTAAACTAAGCTGCAACCCGCTCTGTCCGCAAACCCCTCTTTTGTAGACGAGGGCCATAGTCCAGCATGCATGTCAACTCTCATGGGCGGTTCACGTAGTTATTTTTGTATGGGATCAGCCGGTAGCCATAAAATAACCAAGTAACTAGCAGATGGATCACCTGATGGTAAACAATCGGCGCCGCCGAACACCAGGGGCGTTACAAATGCATTGCCGGCCTTTTGGGGATTAGGAATTTGAGGATTGTTTTGGATTCGGGGTTGGGGAGATTGGGGAACGGAGGGGTGGGGGTAATTGGTATTAATAACAATATTTATTAGATTCACATACCAGCTCTGTCAAAAGCATAAAGAATTCGAACTTTAGTAGTCTGGTTCCAGAGATTCCCCACAGTTAGCCATGAGCAGTTTCTAGGATTTTGCGGTAGGTGAGTTCCCTCAATGATGTAGTCCACAGAAAATTGGAAGTAAATGTTCCATGATAAGAACATTATCAGGGAAAATAGGATCTCCACTCCAGTTTTTTGATAATTCTGTTTTCATAAAAGGTACGCTATAAATATTATGATTGTACGTTTTCCTACGAAGCTAATCAAATATGTAATAGATGGAAATCAACTTACCGATGCATTCATAACAGTGAGAACGTTTTGCAAATAGACCATTATTATGGGCAATCGTACCAACCTCATAGCCTCCAAGACCAAATAAAAAGTTTTCTGCGAACTGTAATAATTAGCAGGGATCCCGAGACAGGCAACCACATCTAATATCAGCCAGGTCGTAATGTATTTCCTTGCAATCTTCTTTTTAGACAAAACGGACATTTTACGGGAATACCCCTCTATGTACCCGGTGAAAAAGTTAACAATTATATTCACTATAATCATGTTATCGCTAAACAGCAGCAAAACTTCGTGGTAATCCTGAAGAGGGGATGAGATTAAGAAAAATGAATATAAAATACCTACGCTGATTATTATTAAATTAAACATAGGTGATCGAGTAGACGTAGATATGTATGTATACGTGACGTACCTGCTGGACATAACGTCTTCAGCTTGTCCAGAGACGAACAAAGTATACACTGTGGGTACTACATTTGTTATGAGACCTCCACTATTGGCCTTACCAGACTCATTAGACATTAGGAACTTGTAACATAACGTGAAAAGTTTCTATCTACACTGTAGATTAAACACCATTGACTTATACCGTTACGAAAAAGAAAGTACCTAATTATAATAGTTTAAAAGATATACTAACAGAATAGTCCCCTCGTTTTTCTGCATAATGAAAAGCTACTGAAATAGAAGACAGTATCATCAGGAAGACGAAAAAAAATTCCAAATAGAATCTTAGCTTGCTGTACGGATGTATGGTGTAACGAAAATGCTGGTAGTGACGATACTTCTCCGCACATAATGCTGCGTAAGACCTAAGAAGAAGAAATCTTTTATCTATAAGAAGAACCGAAGAAGCAAAGAGAAAAAACTATTTTGCATAAGTTATATGAACACTTTTATCGCTATTATTCTAAAGAATATGGCATTTCCTTACTTTATCTACTCTAAGAAGAAACATCAAAATACAGTCGACGTCGGTAGGTACACTTAAGTATTATTATAGTTTTCGATTACCGACCTGTGCATATTGATAGCCCTTACATCACCAGCATGAACAGTGATTATGTTAAACAGCCATTTGCGGGTTCCTTTACATTTGAACTCGTAAGCCGAAAGTTTATCTGCACTCAAATGGCATGCATGACCATAGAAGTACCCATGGGAAGTCGGAACATTCGCATCTGGAGCCACATTTGGAATATTTTCTTTGATCTTTTCTACTTTTATTGTTTCACCATCACCCATAATCGTGATATTAGCTGAGATTGTTGAAGGAAAAGAAAAGGTATTTTTTGCCACTAAAGATAGTTTGACTTCAATAATAACAAGTCCCATAAACTTATTATACTCTTTGCTCTTTGAATAACAATCAAATTATTGACGGAGGAATGTCATAAGAATGGTGTCCATGGTTCCCATATCCTTATTATACTCTTTGGTCTTAATGCTAAAAGTTTAAAAAAAAGTTTAAGGTCGGATTAATGCTACCTTCTGCATGTAACCGTCAAGTACCAAGTCAAAAGACGTTCGACATCAACGTAACCACATAACTATAGTCAATGAAAAAATAAAACCAAGGTTTCTTGCTTGCATATTTTTAATGTTACCTTTACGACAATGACCACGGAATAGCATTTTTGCTTCTTTTCCAAAAGTCAGCACAATATTTTGAACAGAACGCAGCACTCAGTAGAACGTCCTCGATTTTATCAATAAGGATGATATCCCTGGAAAAAAGTAACAAATGTATGATACCTTTATAATTTTTTTGCTATAATAAGATTTAAAAATATTTTAACAACTTACCCTAAACAAAATTCGTAAAACACATGATCAAATATGGGCTTCTTGCAGTTTAGATTTTCGCATGTTGAAATTGGTCCATTACTGAGATCCGATATTAAAGTATTGGGTAAGAAATTGAAATACTCTTTAATTACATCAGTTGGTACGTAATATGCCTTTGTGTTTTTCTTGTGTACCTCTTCTTTTGCCATTGGTTTGTAATCATTACCATTCTCATCATAGGAACTATTTTTGTTTGCATCTAAGTTAAATCCATGGAAATTCTCTTGTAGATCTATTATGTTATTATTGTGTTCATTATAAAGGTTTTCTCTTACATGTTCTGAATAAAAACTATACGTCTGTGGGTTTAGTTTTCTTACTGCAGTATTAATCATTTGATAAAATTGTCTTCTGCTTAGTTCGTATAAACTCGGTGGGGAATGGAATTTAGATTCTAGTACAACATTGTATTGTAGGGGAGGTTCTATTTTCACTTCAATTTCATTGGAATCTTGGTCCAAGAGTTTTAATCTGCATTGATTTCTCCGTCTATTTGCATTTTGGTGACTTGCAGCTTCTAAACATCTGGAAATGATAACAGTTTTTAGCGAGAAATGGTGTACTTACGTGGGTAAATAGTTTCGTCTATAAAACTTTCCCTAATAGTTACGGAACCACAAATTCACCGTTATAATCTCTGAAGCTTATATCAACCTAACTTTTTGATTCACGAGACATCCAGAAGGTCTTATGTGCATTCCCGTTTAACGTTCCTTATGATATTCCAATGTGTGTACTGTGCAGAAAGGTACACAAGACTACGCATCAAGCTAAACATCCCAGTTTATCAAGATCTCGCTTTCTATGCTGCTTGCGATCTATGTTTAATCTCAAATCTACTGACAGCTGTAAAAATTACTTTATTAAATATCGTGTATTAACATTGCCTTCACTTTATGTATTAGAAATAACAATGTTCGTGAAGACAAATCCACATTTGTTTCCTCGTATGGCAGACAGATTTCCAAGGAATAGACGTGACGATAGCCAACTATGTTTACATACATCAAAAACTGCACTTATGCGCAAGAGTGTATTTTGCATGGCACCAATTATCTATAATAAATTACCCAAAAGTTGGAAAGAACTAACTATACCTAAACTAAAACAAACAATGAAATTGTTTTTGGCACAGAAAGCTTATTATAGTATAACGGAGTTTTTAAGTGAGTCAGTGATTGTTATAAATAAATAACAAAAAAAACTAACATTGCCCTAATTAAGGTTGTGTCACAGTGTAGGACACAAAGAAACATATTGTTAATATTATTACAATTGAATGTTATTAAATAATAAGTAAAATATATAATTTGTATAATAATAATTAAATCATTTTTAGTAAATATTAATTGAATATGAACAAATTAATTAATAATGTATAATGATACTGCAGATATTTAATGTAGGTATAAGTGTAAATTTTAAAATTAATGTAATAATTCACAGTCATTAAAATTTTTTTTATATAATAGATATTTGCACGCCATGATAAATGGCAGACATGTCGTAAGCCACTTTTCTCTAAGATCTTGCATGCTGTATTATTTTAATTCTGTATGCACACACATGTTTGAGCAAATAAAATTCTTATTCTTATTCTTATTCTTATTCTTATGGTGCTTCTGCATGTTAAAGGTCAATTTATACTGGTAATGCATACCTTGATGTGCAGCTATGTGGACGATGCCTACGAGGATTTATTGGAAATAGTTTGGAAATTACAAGCACCATCTAAACTTACCCAATATTGAGACATCTAGTTTGTTGATCTCTAAACATATGATACCATAACGAGTAGGGCAGAGTCTTCAAGTTGGAGTTCCTCCAGAATCTGAATTCACAGTGATGATAGTTGAAGACAGGTCGTTGAGGGAGCCATCGCAATTTGTTATCTGTAATAGGGAGGGAGATGTGTTAGATCGAAAAAAGTGATAGATGTGAATATTTCTTTTAACGTTCATCCTTACTAATATTATAAATCGGAGAGTGAGTTTGTTTGTTTGTTTGTTCCGCTTTAACGCCGTGACTACTGAATCGATTGCTTTAAATTTTTTCAGACGTAAAGTTAGAAATCTGGATTACACTTAGAAGGTTTTAGAATATTAATTAACCGACTTCAAAAGAGAGGGGGTTGAAGTCGGTGTTTTTAAACGTAGTTTATGAAAAAATTACATATTCAACCATTCACATGCTTGTGGCCAAAAATGTTAGAAAGAAGACCTTTGATTGTTTTTCTAACACTTATCTAACTTAAATGTTAATATGTGGGAGAGCCATGCTTCGGCACGAATGGGCCGGCTCCACCATACCACGGCCTCACAGAAAACCGCGCCGTAAAGCAACGCTTGCGTTGTGTTTCGTCGTATGAGTGAGGTTACCGGAGGCCCAAATGCCAATCTCCCTAATCCCCAACAATCCTCAAACTCCTAATCCCCAAAACGTCGGTAACGCACTTGTAACACCACTAGTGTTCGGGGTGTCTATGAGCGACACCGATTGCTTACCATCAGGTGATTCGACAGCTCGTTTAGCGGTTTATCCCATAAAAAATGTAATTATTAATTGTATAATGTTTTAGCTATTCCATTAGTAGATTTTAGTACAACACATTAAAACAAATAGACTTCTTTAACAAGCTTAGTTCTAGAATTACCACCGCCCACGTATATCTCAAGACGCAGGTGTAATTTGTTTCCCAAGTCCATTGTAATTTATTTATACGTTTTCTTTAGACAATTATTTGTTTGTGTCTATACGTAAGTAATTAGATTACTAAAAATGTCGCGATTAATTTAAACGAAGGACGACAAATGTTTTCTGCTTACACCTACACAGGTAAGTGGTTAAATGAATTGAAGCTAATTAAAATCTTATTAAGCTTTTATTAGTAGATATGTATGTAGTGTTTAAGAAGCTATAAACACGCTTATCTTCGATAATATAAGGTAATGACCTACACAAAAAATGTAATAACAATCACTATAAACTGACTGCCTCGTTGGCTGAGTGGTCGTATGTGCAACTGCCGGGCAAGGGGTATCGGGTTCGATTCCCAGGTCGGGCAAAGTATTACTGGGTTTTTATTAAATCTCAATAGCAGCACGGAGTCTGGAATTGTTCCCGGTATATGGCAATAGGCTCACCCGATATTATATGGGACTCATAACATAAATAGTGAAAAGTGGGTGTTACATTGTACAGTGGCATTAAGTGTATCTCTGCCTACCCCTTCGGGGATAAAAGACGTGATGTTATGTTATGCAATAACTATAAACTTTCATTATACTTTTCTAACGAAGAAATGAAGCAACATCCTAAATAAATAGCAACCCAAACATAACATAAACATTTACACTAACTTTTACAAATCACAACATCGTCTTAACAACTTTCAGTTACAAAATGATTTCCAAAACACATTTTAAAACACTTTCTTAGTCAAACATTCGGCGGTGGTCCCTGGTACCACACGGTTACACATCGAGCTTTACATAACCAGTATAAACTGAACGTTAAATGTGCGGAAGATGATGCAACGCGACACCAGGATAAACTGGTTTTGTATAGATTGATGTGTGGCCGTACCTTGTAAATGGGTCAACCGAATCAATGAGGAAACGCTAAAGTTGATTTATCGCGTATAGTTTGTTATCCAAGGCGCCAAAACTAGTGTCTTCCTAAACTTTACGACGAATAGTAAAACGTAACTGGAGCGCATTAGTACCGGTCTCTGTTTTGTTATATTTGTTAACGATGGTCGGTAATGAGGTTCTGTGTGTGATGCAACTTTGTTTAGGGTAATATTTTGAGATGATAATGAAGATGGTAGGCTTGAAAGAGTGTTGTTTGGGTGAGTCTTTGTTATAGAATTCTATGCAATATGACTATATAAACAGCCTATTTTTAAAATACTAAGTACCTAACAGCTATCATTATAAGTAACTGTATGTGAGCTGTATGTTTGTAAACGTATCCACGACACAGGAGAAAATCCTAATGTGGGATAACGTTTAAAAAAAAACCTGATTTATCTGTGACTTTTTAAATTCAACAGATTGCAATTACATAGAATGTTTGAAAATTTGGTGAAAAATATTTACCTACTTGATTGAGAAGTGAAATATGAAATTATTAATTTTGGCAATTTAATAAAAAACACATTCCAATAAAAAATACGGTCTTTTCTAATAAGTCAAACAATTTAAAGAGAGAGTGGCCTTGGCGTGATCTGCCGCACGTTGCGAATACGTTAAATTCATACCTCGGAGCTTTATTACTAGATCGTTAGCCTTGAGATGTGTTATGAAACCGTACACGTGGGTACCTGGTGATTACCACAAAGCTTTTACTAAAAACGACACTCTTTATAGGCACATGAACGTTTATTTCTGTTACTTTTTTAGATAGGGAATTTTGAAGACACATTCTCGACAGGTAACTTTGAAGATACATTCCCAAAAGTGTATTGGAAACCTCCTTGTATTATTGTTTGTTAATGTTTATTTACATGCAATAATATCAAAAGACTGACTACTCACAACACTCAACACCACACGCCACATAAAATTAGAGTAAAGAATTAAATTACCACAAACCGATAGGTACCGTAGACGTCTTAGCTCCGAAATCCTCAACGGCAGCTCTGTTAATTCATTCTCATCTAATATTAGGAACTTTAAACTCCTCGCTTCAGCTATCTCTTCAGGAATACGCCTCAATCTGTTCCCGCTAACATCTAGACACTTGAGACATCGCAACTTAGATATCTCTCTCGGTAACTCCGTTATATCATTACCGCTGACGTAGAGGCTCTCTAAATGCTCCAAAACTCCTATGTTAGTTGGCAAACGAGTCAAGAGATTCTCCTTCAAATAAATATCAGTCACCTCTCCTTCTTCACCCTTTAATTCATTTAATGGGAATTCGGTAAAACCTCTATAATTCCAGTGTAGAACTGTTGTTGGCAGGAATTCTTCATTGTAATCCATTTTTTAAATCGTCCGTGCACTTTATCTCACTTCACTGTTGAAAGTAATGCACTTAAGCAGTCATTATTGTGTTTATGTTTAACGTATGCTGTTACTCAATTCAAAGTGTTGTTCGTACGTTTGTTTGTAACGAGAAAAGTCAGAAGCGAGTTGCTCTGGTTCCCGCCTGAAGAAGACTGCATCCCGAGTCGGGCGGACGATCGAGAATTATTTTTAAAACTATAACAAGGTCTTTGCTATGAAGAATTTCTTCAAAAATTCTGCCTACAATATTTTAAATCAGGAATATATAACATAATAGTGTGTTTATAACATTCATTATGAAAAATGGTCAGTTTTATTACATTGCTTTAAGATTTTCTACTAAAAAATAAAAATGTTTAAGAAACGTAAACATCAGCATCCACTTACATGCCTCAACCTATATACTGCTACTTAAAGCTGAAAACATAGAAACCAAACCAGAAAATCAATCATCCATAAACAAAAGGTATTTAGCAACCGTAAACATAAACAAAATGTATTCGTACCTAGATATATCATACGAAACACGACGAGAAAGCGATGCAAGACGAACTGATAAGCTCAGTACAGATCGGTACGGTTGGCAGTAGGCCAATACGGCGCGGTGTTAGGTCGAGGACAGTCGGCCGTAACACAATAACAAATAATGAGTCCATGACGTTTACGAAATCTCTCATCTGTACTGCGGATGCGAGAACAGAGTATGTAATAAATATTCGATTCGAAATGCCATTTTTGGAGTAGTTACGCATTTTTAGGTAAGACTTCAAATCACGTGGGTTTTAGAAAAAATGTTCTTAAAGTTTAAAGACCGAATGTTCAGTTTCTTACTGGATCTTTGAGACAGATTAACCTGTGAAGTGTCGAAACGCAGATCTACGCGAGACACAATATGTATTCTATTGCATCTCATATATCGACACACAAGAGGTTAAACGTAGTATTTCAAGGATTGTAGGCTATTGAAACCATTAAAATAAAATGAAATAAACACAAAACCTTATATTAACCTTACTTTTGAAACGTCAACAAATACAAAATAAATAATAGTCTGTCTCATTCCAAAAAGTAGATCCGAATGGAGAAGAACGAGCAAGAAACTCCATTATTAACATTTTTCTTTTCAATCTTAGCTTAAACAAAGTAACTAATCATTCCCATTCTATCTAAAACCCTTTTAAACATGAAATACACATTTTATTAACCCAGACACGTCGACCACTAAATCCTAATTAAGATAAAAACATTAAAAGAAGCATAACATAACACAGTAATGTATTGTGTCACTCCCTGCTAAAATGAAATATGTGCATCAAAATATGCGTCCCAGTTTTACCCCTTGCATTCATTAAAAGAACTATTTTCATCTTTGTATACACAACGGGTGTTGTCTAGTTAATTGGGATATATTAAAACGAGGAAACAAGATTTTCTTAGAACGTTGTTGAGCTTAAAAAGTGTGCCGAAGATATATGAGTTTTCCAAGAAAATGGAAACGTGATCCGGGTTTCAATTTGTGCAATTTATAATTTGGTTTGTACTTTCTTTTTGTTGGTGGGTCAAAGCTTGATTATAAGAAAGTAACAGAAATCTGGAGTGCATTTAGACTTTTGATTCTTATTTCAATTTATTATTTCCTTAAGTTAGTTTTAGAAGTAAGTAGGTACACACGTACTTAGAGGGAACATGCGTTTTTGATGGTTATGTGGTGGGGAGACAAATTTTTGTCAAACGATTCTATGCTCCGAAGAAAATTTAAACAGAAAAAAGTGTAGTTTTGAATGCACGGTTGGTGCGGTGGCTGAGCCACCGGCTGCCGTGCAACGTGTGATCCACAAATTGTTGTTTCGGGTCTGGATGTCATTGTGTATGTGAACTTGTTTGTAAACGCACCCACAACACAGGAGAAAATCCTAACGTGGAGCAAAGTTTTTTAAATAAAGAAAAAAAAGAAATGTTTACTGCTTCGGAAACTTCCATCACACTAGGCAATCAATCATTTATTTACCCGTTCGTTAACAATCACTTTACATTTTAAAACGCTTAGAAATTTCCATTTTTAAAACTTACTATTTTATAAACACTATTTTTGTGTTAGTATCGTCTAGAAAAATATCTAGGTAGATATTATCGTTTCGTATGCTCGATTTTAGGCATTCAGACAAAACAGATTGATGTGCTCCATATGCGTTTAGTTCTAATTCCATAGAATGTTCTGCAAAGGCCACCCACGCTTGCATTCCTAGGAAATGTGTTTAAAAATGAATTAGACATCTATTGAGATATTTTGCTTGTTATCACTATTGGAAGTAGGTATTAAATATGTATGAAGTAGATAGACAACCTCCAGAGGCAGAGGAAACCCATCGATTACAATTGTTTCCGAAAGAACGATATTGTAGTTACATTACAAGAACAGAAGAATCAACCAGGGCGGTCACTGCAAGTCCTGCATGGTATTTTTCCCCCAAATTTCAAGGGCAAACAATTTTGTTCATTTTCATCTATGTTACATATTTTCCAGGTAGCGAAATAACACACAATCAAAGTGACATTACTAAATTGTAATTCAGGAAAAATCTACATCAATAAAATTAATCTAGATACATTTTGATATTTAGTATTTTGCAAAAGGTGCTATACAAAACGTCAGGTCACATAGTGTCCAACAATACATAAATACTATACATGCACAAGTATCACACATTCAGTACAAAAAGATCAGACTTTAAAGTATTATAAGATGAACCACATCAGTTCTGGATGATACCTACTTAGAACATTTTGTGTAGAAGAAACTTGAAACCATTTACGTAGTCGATAGACAAGATGTAGAAAAAAAAATACAAAAGACAAACACTTTATTCGCAAACTGTTTTATTCACATATTCATTTGGTTTCAAAGAAGAAAGAAGATCACCAGTCAAGTAAAGACCTTTCAAAATTAACTAATTTAATAATAAACAAATCATTATTTTGTATCTAAGTGTTTGTTCTACTTATACTGTTACAAATGTTCAATTTCCTTCTACACTATTTCTCTTCACCTATTCTTGTATCGCGTTTAAGCTCGTCTATGTTCCCAGTTCGTATTTTTATTTATTTTCGACCATAATCTTAGGTATCCTGTGCCAACAAATGTTAATCGACACACGCCATTTTGAAACAAAAAATAACTAGTGTACTCAGAGTCATTTAACGATTACTTACTTTAAAAAATTGTCCATATTAAGAGGAAAAGGCCAGGGGTCCATAGCAGAGATTATTCTAGTTTGGGTTCCTGACTTCCACCAAAATATTTTAATGTCAATTATCTAATATTTCCCACGTAAAGTATTCCTTAGTAAAGCTTTGTTTTATATTTGACGGGCCAACGTTTAATCTTGCCTGGTGGTAAGCGATGATACAGTCTACGATGGAGCTCGTCGACCCATAAGCAATCTATTCACTCGAGCCTTGAAGACACCCAGGTTATAACCCTTCAGGAAATACAGATTCTGGCAAAGAATTCCACTCCTTAGCAGTACGTACAGGGATTGCCGATTGTGTTCCGAATACAATTTTTAAAGATTGGGTAAAGAAATCATTAAATTACTCTTGAGTACGACCTACCAATAGACATTAATACCTATCTGTATATAGGTATTGTATATCGAAAAGGTCCTGTTTCATCCCTTCTAGTCAAGTTTTGGTTAATCTAATTGGCGGATAATTCTATTTTCCACATGAAACGTGTCAAAATATGTCATCATCATCATCAACAGCCTATAAATACCCACTGCTGAGCAAAGCCTCTTCTCACATGGAGAATGTTTCAGCATTAAAAACTACGCATGCTCAATGTGGATTGGCGAATACAAACTTATAATTAGTAATTATAAGCCCAGGTTTCCTCACGATGTTTTCCTTCACATCTTAGAAAGTACGTATAACTTGAAAAAGTCACTTTGGTACTTGCCGTTGGTAGGTTTTAAATCCGCACCCTCATGCATGAGAAGCGGACGTCTTAACCTCCGGGCTACCACGACATAACTAAAGTCAAAATATGTGCCAGTTACTTAATCAAAAAATCTTAATCCGTAGTGATGAAACAGGATCGCAATAAACTAAAGTTTAGTCAAGTTTTACTATTTGGAAAGATTTGTATAATATAAAAATGTTCGGATATTACAATATTAAGAGATCATTTGAAAAAATTATACTTCATTATACTGGAAAGTTAAAAAGATTTTATGGACCTAACAACTAGGTCTATGTATTAATTTATTAATAGAACTATAAATAGCATGTTTTCTAAGTTTTATATCTTGATATATCTTAGGACATCGATCTCTAAGGACATATAGCTGGAAGGATCAACACTCACGCTCCTACAGTCTAAAAATTTTTGGAAATTGCGACTAGATAAGATATGCTTTTTATCCTCGAAAGAAGCCTCTGCTTTACAATATAATATTATAATCAATACATTTACTTATTCAAAATTTCGTAGTCAATGTTCATTGTTTGCCAAAATACTTAATCTAAATACATTTTTGAATAATAACTATAAATATTTGAGTGCAAAGGAGTTTGCTTATAAACTAACAAATTTTATTTGTAAATAGAATATTAAAAATGCAACTGTTAATATAAATTTTACAAGTGTGGCCAAGCCATGCTTCGGCACGAATGGGTCGGTTCGACCGGAGTGATACCACGGCCTCATAGAAAGCCGACGTGAAACAACGCTTGCGTTGTGTTTCGTCATGTGAGTGTGGTTACCAGAGGCCCAATTATCCCCCCCCTATCTCCAATTCACAGCAATCCGTAAATTCCTAAGCCCCAAAAGGCCGATAACGCACTTGTAACGCCTCTGGTATTCCGGGTGTCCATGGGCGGCGATGATTGCTTACCATCAGGTGATCCATCGGCTCGGTTACCGGCTTATCCCGAAAAAAAAATTCTACTTATCTATGTTTAGGTATACATAAATA